TGCATTATCACATCTCAACGTCATCATCACCTCCAAGCACCACATCAAGCACTTCCCTTCCTTCAGCCTCCAAATCATTCCTCACCAAATTCTCCACCTCCTTCACTCTCCCCTCCAATCCACCTTCTTCGACATACCGCACCAGCACCCCAACTTCCGTTTCATAATCCGCCTCCAGCTCCCTGATGACATCCGGCGGGAAGTTTGGGAAACGGGCTGACAGCTCGGTACTGGTCGGGGGGATGGTAGCGTCGTATGGAGGTATGATGGCGGCTGTAGGAAAGTCGGGGATGGAATGTAGGGATTTGAGGACTTTGTAGATCATTGTTTGGCGCAGGTAGGAGCGTTGGGCTTGTTCGCTGCGACCACCGGTGTTGGAGATGTCCATCCAGCTGCAATGCCGTTAGTCTTGGTCGACGGAAGGCGATGGAAAAGCTTACTCGTCCCGGATGTATACCCTCCTCCAGATGGAGATCAAAGCGACCTCGGACCTGGCTTTTGGCAGCGTCTGATCAAGGACCACCAGCCGCAAGGCATCCACCGCATCCTCTTCCCTGTCCCCGTTATCCTTCATCACCAGCAAGTCTATTACGTCTTCCAAGCTTAAAGCCTCGCCTTCGATGACCAGCCTGTTGACGAGGTCAATGAAGAGGGCTTGGAAGCTAGCACGTGCAGTGTCGGCAGGGGTAGATATGAGAGTGAGTATGGGAGCGAGATGTTTGGAGAGGTGTTTGGGGTTTGGGGGACGAGGGTGTGAAGGGAGAAGATCGAGAAAGTAGGCGAGGAGGGATGCCTGGATGTCGATCAACGAAAGATGCTGGCCGATCTCTGTGATCACTGTCAGCTTCTGTCCCCATTCAATTGGCTATACGTACGTTGGAAAGTATGGTCTTTCTCCTCATCCGCGCCTCTCATGCTGATATCCGTCATCTCCGCCAATTTCGCAATACTGCCCACAATCTTCCTATACTCCAACTCCCTCACTTGTGTCTTTTCCCCAGCCTCTTGGCCGCCCTCCAATACATCCACCAAAGCTCCTGCAGCATGACTATACCGCTTGCACGCCACATCATGTATCCACGCCAACTCTGGATGATGGTGCGTCTCAAAGAACCGGGTGATTAGGCTGCCGTAGATCTCGTCTTGCGTCAAGAGCTGGTAAGCCTGGCCTTGAGCGATATACCAGCGGTACAGCTCAAAGGCAAATTCTTCGCCGAAACGTTCAATGTAGATCTGGATCCGGGCTTCGCCTCTGCCTTGAGCAGCTTGGGGGTCGTTGGACAGGACGACGAGTGTCGGGAAGTCGCGATGGTGTTCAGCCAGCTCGAACGCTTCAGCGATTCTATCAATCGCCACTAAACCCAGATAAGCTTTCTTTCACGCTACATCTCCATTTGGACATACCAAGTGGTCGAATGACTCTCGGCTTCATAGCATCCCATTTCTCCTTGATAGCAATCCCCTCTTCCTCACTTGCCCCGTCATTCATCTGCCGCCGCACCACAACCCGACATTTGTCTTCCATGTTGGTACACAGCGCCGCTGCGAGCCAACCCATTTGCCTCTTGAGCATCCCTTGCAAAATCTGCTCTTTTCTCAAATCTTCTCCGCCTCTACCCGACGACGGCGGTTCGTCAATAGCCGAACCGAGGACTCTTGTTCTCTCCTTGATGGCCGCTTCCGTGCTGGCGTACAAGAACTCGAGCGCATCCAGCAACTCGTCCGAGGCAGTCCACATCTCCACGGCAGGCTTCTCCCTGTCAATGACGTACAGATCCGCCTCCTCTTCTCTATACTGCGCCGCCGCTCGTTCAAGGGCGATGAAGATTTGGTTCACCTCGCCCAACCAAGCGCTCTTCTCTTGCACATCGTCAGAGCCTAAGTGGGAGACGGCGCTTTGGTATTGCGAGAAGGTGATAGAGAGTAGAGTCGAGAGGTGAGGGATGTTGTGGCGAAAGAAGAAGCGGACGGGGTCGGATGTGAATTCAGAGTAGGACGGAGACGAGGGAAGGATGGCCGGAGGGAAGGTGGTAAAGTACGTTTGGATGGAGGATGTCAACAATGCTTTGGAAGGTTGAGAGTTGATTTGGCTTTGATTGAGTCAGCTCATAACTCATTTGAAGATAGACATCACCCACTCCAAGAGTTTGTCCTGGTAATCCCAGAGCTCCAAAGCGCCCTTCACCTTCTCCGCGTCTCCCGATAGCTTCCTTCTCGTCGTTTGCGGCAACTCGCTCAACAGGTTGTTCGCATGGACAAACTTTAAAAGTTCCTTCAGTCTTGACAGCTTGTCTTGCAGATTCAGCCTCAGCTCAGAGATCACCGGCGCATAACGCGAGCCTGAAACCATGTCAGCCAAACCCCCTGAATCGCGTACGGCAACTTACTAGACGAGACCACCTCTGCACTAACACTTTCCGCCGCTTCAGCCACATCCCCAGCCCCCAACCCCCTTGCATCTTCCACCAACCCGAAATCCAACGGATTATCACCCCTCCCTCCAAACCATACCGCTCCCTGCATCTTGCTCTCCAACCTCGCCGTTGCTCCCGACTTTTGCCCCAACATCTCTGGGCTTGCTCGAGGTTCCAACGCGGTGAGTGACATGAGCCCGCCAGAGGCTGGTAGGAGTACCGCCGTGGGATTGGGGGCCAAAACGGCGTCGACGGCGAGAAAGGCGTTGGAAGGGTCTTTGAGGTGGATAGTCTCTTCGTACGCCGTCTCGTAATCCAAAGCCTTCATCACCACCGCCCCTCCAAACCTCACAAACGCCACCGAACTGTCTTGCGGCACGATCAGCCGCGGGATATCCAGCGCCCTAGATTCGGGGGTCGGAAAGTATGCGAGCGTGAGGATACGGTCGATAGCCGGGATGGAGGCGCGTTGGAGGGAGAAGGTGAGTATGGCGTGGGTGGGCCGGGATTCCGGTTCGGCGTATGTCACGAGGGCAGCTAGGGATTCGGGGCCTATGGCGACAATGTCGTCTAGCTCGAGGGCGACAGTGCCGGAAATGTAGATGTCGGACACAGCGTTCCCTGCCGCGTCGTACAAGTCGTATTCTTGTACGAACTATTCTTCATCAGTCATGATTGCCCCTCAGGTTGAAGAAGACATACCTTTTGGCCATCACTCGCGAACGTCCATTTCTGAACACTCCTCGACGCCAGGATATAGACCTCCGATCCGAGCGAAGCCACACTCCTCACTCCCTCTCTATCGTACCTCGTCCCAAACAAGACCTGGCTCGCACGCCCAAACATCCCAGACGGCCTCGAAAGCGGTACCACCACCGGCGTCGCCCTTCCTCCGGACGTCGTAATGTTCAGCCTGTAAGCTTGCGAGGTCACCGTCGTGAGCACAAACGTGCTCCCATCAATCTTCCAAACCCTCTCCACCCAGTCTCCCTCGGGAAGCTCTACAAAGAGCTCTTGGTACCGATCCACGTTACTTAGTGCTAGACTGAGACTGTCCCAGAACCGGATTTCGCCCGAGCTGGAGACGAGGATCATACCAGGCTCGGCTGTGGAGGTGTACAGGGCGGCAAGGATGGGCGGGACAAAGCCTGCTAGGGAAGATGTCGTGGGGGGCGGGGCTGGGAAAGAGTACGTCGTGGGTGTTGAATTCGTGCGCTGGGGAAAAGAGTCAGTTGATGACTCTCTTCCAAAACTCCATCCGACAAACTTTGGCATAGTTCCAAGCCACGCATGTCCGGGAAGTGGCGGCCACAGCATATCCACTCTTGTAGTCTACGTGTGCTATTATCGGATCGTTCACGAGGTCTCCACCCCTGTTAGCTGTGTACTCTTCGAGACATGGTCGACCTACCAGACGCCTTGACCAACGCAGCCACCTCTTTCGGCAGCTTACCCAAAGCAGCTATATCATGCCTCTCATCTCTGCTCCAATGGACCTTGTCCTTCTCTTCCCCCTGAGGTCTCTCTGTGCGGATAGTCTCGGCGACAGAAGGAGTGGGCGAGTTGTTTTGGACGCGCAGAGTTTGGAGCCGGGAGCGAGCTGGCGTGGGGGCTGTGGAGTAGCGTGGAGTGTTGAGGCGAGAGCGGGTGGATGGGGAGTTGAACATCCTGCCTCGATTATAGGATTGTGACGAGGGGAGAGAATTGATAGAGACGACGGAGCAAACGCGCGAAAATGACAAGCTGCAGGACGCATCCGAGCGGGATCAAAAAGCAGCCGTCATTCGGTCAATGTTTGGTTCAACTTTCAGTGCCCAGACAATCGTTATATGCACAGGGCGTGCGTTATGGGCAAACATTGCAAGGCCGGATACTTTAGGATCTATTCATCGTAGCAGTCTACCAACCGTTTCCCCAAGTAATGTCTCTGGACAGACGCTTGATGGTCAAAGAAGTTGCTTGCACAGCTGCACAATGCCGACAAGGTCTACCATGCACTTGCAGGTGTCTCTTATTACATATACCCATTGCCGACATACCAAAGTGTGAGAGAACTACCAATGATATTCAAAAGGATGTATCGCGGGCCGGTGTGCTGGGTCTGCTGTCTGTTGCAGCTGAAAGGTCAAATCGGAAAGAGTGGAAGGATGTTGCCCATCCCCTCTGGTGTTGAAGCGTGGGAGCCCGTCGACACGTCAGGTATTGTGAATGAGCTCACACACTGAGCGTATATACCCAGCCACAAATTGTGTGTTACTTTAGCAATGTATCATATGGAGCTCCATACTTCTTCCGCCTACTAACTCAAAACAAGAACCGTTTCGAACATCTCCTCCCTGTCCTCCCTCCATTCTGGTGGTACGTGGCCCGAAGCTTCTTCTGCTTCCATATTCACCAGCCAAGGACCACACAGACACATAGCCCCTCGGCGCACCTCTGGTGATCCAAACAGTTCTCCCAGCCCAACGGCAATGACAACAAGCGAAACAAATGGATCAACTGCTATAATTAAAGACAAGCTCTATCAGCTAGGTCCCGACACCGAAAGACTGGGTGTCAACCAATTTAGAGCAACCCAACAAAGACATGGAATCCTGGCTGTCCCACATTTTGGACACTGTCGAAGCTCTCAAACATTATAGAGAAGTGCAAGATCGTCGGGAGCTTAAGAGAGGAGAGCGTATCGCCGATCTGGAACTGTGGATCAGTGAAATGGAAAGTCTGTTCCGGAAAGCGAACGCTGCGAACAGCATGGCACCTGCGCTAGCGAAGCAACCTGCAACAGCCGTGGTCGTCTTCCACAATGCCCCCACAAGGTGATAACAATCTATGGACGCGCCCGGATGGCCTATCAGGAATGGCAGAAGAAAGCTACATCAGCCCCGACCAGACTTTTGTAGATGATGAGCTAGAGATTGAACTATGAGATCGATCAGACGATAGAGGGAAGCAGTTTGGTCCGGCATAACGTCATATCGAGGTTATAGCTATGCAGTATCCTTACTCTTCTCCTCTACAAGTTCTCTTCGCAGGTGGTGCCCCAAGGTGGTGAGACCCTTTGTACCAGCCCGCATGGAGGACAGTTTGAAGAGGGCTATATCGCCCCTGCCGATCCTGCCGACATTGTTATCCAGGACGCTACGCAGATGCCCTTTGAGCGATGGATGAGCTCATGATTTATATGCGGGAATGCATCTGTATATCATCATGCAACGAGTCTATGTCGAGGCATAGTTGAATGACAAGTGATGCAATGAAGAAGATATCACCCTAGATAAGATACCGTACGACGTTCAACGTTATAGATAGCTCCCGGTTGCCATAAAGGAGGTTGGGAATCGGTGAATGTTAATCCTACAATCCACCCCGATGCTCGGGCTTGTGTCTTGCCAGAGGCTGGAGGCTGGCAAGAAGAAAGAAGTGGGTCTCCCGGTCTGCCCGGCGCTCGGAGATGTCGCCGTTTCCTCTTCGCCCCGGCGGCCGGGAATCAGGGTGTTTTTTAGCGGATTTGGTTGGAAGGTTTCGCGTTGTTGACGGGGTTCTAATTTGGGGACGAAAGTTGATCGCAGGCACGGTGAAAAATTAAGAAAAGATAGTTAACAATGCTGTCATGCTGTGACCTTGATGCGTCAGTGGCAGATGCACTGCGCAGATCTGGGGGAGAGAGGGGAGGGGGGAGGGGGAGAGATGGGGGCGGCTAGTGGGTAGCAGGTAGCAGGTAGTCTAGTAGGGCATGCATCAGCACGGGCACAGCAGCGGCCATAGGCATGGACAAGCGGGCAAATAAGAGGAGGAAAGACGGAACCAAATCGGGCGGTTGTTTACGCATTGGACCCTTTTTCCTGGATATATCCCTCATCTCACCTCTCCACCACAATTCTGTGAATGACTCTCCCGTCTGCCTCTTCATCCCTCCACTCCCCCTACCAGCCCTACACGTCTTACTCCCCCCGCCCCCGCCGCCGCACCTCCATCTCCATCTCCCTCGCGACCCCCCGCCCCTACAACCCCTACAACGCCCCCACCCGCCGCCGAGCGCGCACCATGCCCCAGTATGCCCGCTCAAGGGACCACTCGCACCCCATCTCCTCCAAGCCCTCCACCCGCACCAAAAAGGTCGTCATCGGCCTCCTCATCGTCCTTTTCCTCTTCCTCATAGGCACCGTTGTCGTCCTTTCCACCGTCTCGTACTATCTTGCCATCCCGACGTGGGCCTATCTCACAGAGAGCGAAGTCGCCTGGCGGCCGGAGGACGTCATTCGTCCGCTGAGGGATGTGCCGAAGAGCAGCAGACGGCATAAGAGGGCGGAATGGACAGAGGTGGGGGTGAGCAGTGGCGGGTCGAGCGCTAGTGCGGACGCTTGGACTGCATCGGCTGTGAACGACGCCGCCTTTACTCTCAGTGCTGCCCCTTCATCCTCTGCCGCCGCAACCTGGGACGAGCTCGAGGAAGAGATGGAAGCGCTCGACGCGAGCGAGGAGGACAGCGTTGCTGAAGCCGAAACAGACGCGTCAGACGCGCTAGCCGTATCCGTGGAGACCACCCCGTCACCCACCTCTTCCGCCACCTGGGGCATCGACGGTGCGGGCTCGGGAGGGTATTGGATGGAGAAGGACTGGGATGGGCGTGTGAGAGATACGGATTCGTGGGAACGGTTGTACAATGTGTCCAACAGGTGCGTTATTCGGATCTTTTTGATGGACAGGCGATAGGCAGCTGATACAATGTGTGTAGGGCTGGAGAACGTATTCCCCGACTGATCCACCAAACTTGGAAAGACGACCAACTGCCCGAGAAATGGAGGAAAGCCTGGAGAGAATGCAGAGAAGGCATGCCCGACTAGTACGTCCCTATCATCCCTGCCCTGAACACCAACTGATAAAGCGTAGCGAGTATATGCTCTGGACAGACGACACTTCCCGAGAATTCATCGCCACGCACTACCCCGCCCACCTCCACATGTACGACGCATACCAGTACCCCATCCAGCGCGCCGACTCTATCCGGTACTTTATCTTGCATCACTTTGGCGGTGTGTATATGGACTTGGATATCGGGTGTAGGCGGAGGTTGGACCCGCTTTTGCAGGGTGATTGGGATGTCATCTTGCCGCTTACCAAGCCTGTAAGTGCTTTGATTTCAAAGCAGAGTGGAAGCTGATGGGTGTAGGTTGGGATTTCGAACGACTTGATGTTTTCGGCCAAGGGCTCTGCGTTTATGGATGACACTGTCCACGGTCTTTCCGCTTTCAACCACCGCTACCTCACCAACTATCCCACCGTCATGTTCTCCACCGGGTACGTCCCCCATCCTCACAATCGACCCATACTGACAAGAACTAGACCCATGTTCCTCTCCGCCCAATACGCAATCTTCTCCTCCTCCCACCCGCTCACAACCCAACACCCCCGCGCCGAAGTCCGCGTCCTCCCCAAATCCCTCTACGGCAAAAACGCCCCCATCTCGGACGTCCCCCACTCCTTCTTCTCCCACTTTTACGGCTCCTCATGGCACGCCGACGATGCGGGCTTCATCACCTTCCTCGGTGTCTGGGGTAAAGGCCTCATGTGGGTCGGCGGAGCGGTGATCTTGTTTGGGTGTGTGAGGCTGGTCTGGTTGAAGAGGGTTGCGGCGAAAGGGCAGCAGTATCAGTTATTGTCCATCTTGCCGACGACGAGGTCAAACTCGCCGACGGGGTACGATACACCCACATCAACATCCTCCGCCCCGCTCTCCCCCACCTCGCTCGACATGTCTCTGCACCAAGCGCTCCCATCCGAGATCGCCTCGTATTTCAAACGCGCAGGCAACCTCATACTCGCAGCGCCTGCCATGCTCCAAGGCGACCGCCCCCACGCCCGCGCCCACGAAAATAGGAGGGGCAGGCGGAGGCAGGGTCTGCTTTACTTTGTGCCAGCGCTCTTTCAGCCGGTACCCGGGCGGCGGTCACGGACGGCTTCTGAAGCGAGCCAGTTACCCATGAGACGGACCCGCCGGGAGAGGGAGCGCGACCTCCAGCGCGCGAGGGAATCGCATAAACCAGATAACCTCGCGCCGCCGCCTTATGAAACCCTGCACGAAGGACCCACCTCTGAGCCTTCACGCCCTTCCTCCACCTCCCGTTTCGCCCCCCAGACTGGGGCTGGCGGCGTGCCAGAAGGACAAGGAGAGCGGTATGAGAGTTTCGAGAAGGAGGTGAATATGGATGAGGTGGATGCGTTTTTGAATGAAGCGGATAATGAAGGGTCGATGAGCGGGAGTGGGAGTGGGGGGGAGGAAGAGTGGAGGGAGAGGGAGAGGGCGAGGGAGAGAAGGTGGAGATAGCACTCCCCTCCTGTCTCTTTCCTTGTCCGGTTTCCTTTTCTCATACTTTCGTAGGAGGAGGAGGGATGAGCTTTTGGTTGTCTTGGTGAGGGGTCGATCTTTGGGATAAACATGGAAGAGCTTTTTCCAAAAAGTGTATACTGTTTTTTTACTGGTTACTGGTATGGGGGTTTCAACTCTAATGTCCGTGTTATAAACCACGAATATCTCTTCTGTCATGCCCATATCTTCCTTCCTTCCTTCCTCTTCTTGTGGTGTGCTTTTGAGCTACTCGAAAGTCGGTTAAAACTGCCTTTTTTGGAGACAACTTGCGCTTTTTCGAAACCTCGCCCACGTTCTTTACAAGTTGATCTACAACGATAAACATTCCTTCTTTCATCTTATCATGTGTATAGTTTATTCCAAAAACAGAAAAAGCGGAGTTCAATTCCTTATGTAAAAGGTAGTTTTTCCCATTCTATCCAAAGAAATCAGCAGCTAGCTTTCTTGCCATCATGAAAAGGGTACTCTCTTTTTGGGCGCCCTGACAAGGGCTCTACTTTCTTGACTTGTGATTCAGCTTAGTTATTCATGTAGCCACTACTTATAGAATATGAATGGATCTCTTCAGAACCTTCAGAGGAGACCATTACTCCATATTCCATTGCGATTGAAAGAGAAGCATGGTAAGTGGGGTGCGTGAATGATTCTGGACGCGACTGGTGACTCCACGCAGTTCGCATTTCCGCGGCATCGCGATCTTATTCTCCTATCTCATCTACAACCATCCCCCATCCACCATGTCCACCGCCCCCACCGCCGCCAACGCCCCCCAGCCCGCCTCCGCCACCATCTTCCCCCCCGGCGTCACCCCCTTCGCCAACCGCAAGTTCCCCAAGACCATCTGCATGTTTGACGTCGACGGCACCCTCTCCCTCGCCCGCCAGCTCGCCTCCCCCTCCATGTTTGCCACCCTCAAAGAGCTGCGCAAGTACACCGCCGTCGCCTTTGTCGGCGGTTCCGACTTGAGCAAGATCTTGGAGCAGGTCGGCAGCTTGGACAACTTTGATTATGGGTTTGCGGAGAATGGGCTGGTGGGGTACAAGTTTGGACAGCACATGTCTAGTGCTAGCTTTATTGAGCATGTGGGGGAGAAGGAGTACCAGAAGCTTGTCAACTGGGTGCTGAGGTACTTGAGTGACATTGAGCTGCCTATCAAGCGGTATGTCGGCCGTAATTCAGCGAAGGGAGCGTGAGCTGACGGTTCGGGTGTAGAGGTACTTTTATCGAGTTTAGGAATGGTATGATCAACATCTCTCCTATCGGTAGGAACGCCTCGTGAGTCTTGTCCGTCGTTTCCCGCTCTACGCCCGCAGCTGACAACCTCGCAGTATCCAGGAGCGTATCGACTTTGAAAAGTACGACAAGGTAAAGCTTCCTCCTCTTTGACCCCTCAGTATGCACAGCGCTGACAGTGCACGCAGGAGCACGGTATCCGCGCTACCATGGTCACCAAGATGGAGCAAGAATTCGTCCACCTCGGATTGACTTTCTCCATCGGTGGTCAAATCAGCTTTGACGTCTTCCCTCAGGGTACGCTGCCATCACTCCACATCCATAGCTGTACAGTCGCTGACCGCGCGTTTGCAGGCTGGGACAAGACCTACTCTCTCCAGCACATTGAGCCCGAAGGTTTTACCGACATTCACTTCTTCGGTGACAAGGTGCGCCTTTTCCCTGGAAATCACTCGGGTTATGCTGATGATAGATGGGGATAGACTTACAAGGGCGGTAACGACTACGAGATCTACTCTGACCCCCGAACTATCGGCCATGCCGTCGAGAACCCCGAGCACACCCAACGTCTTCTTGACGAGTTGTTCTTGACTGTTGCCTAAGTTTGGACTCTCTGATTTCTTGTTTGCGGGGGTGTACCGGCGCGATTGTAGGAGCGGGATAGTGAGGGAAGGTGAGGCGGTGTTTGAGAGCAAAGAGTATATCTAGAAGCATTTACCCTATATGTATTGGGTCTTTCGCCATACTCTGTCATCTCTGCTATGGCGCCAGTAAAAATGGACATCAGCAGGGTCCCAAGCCTCGAGACGATCGCATCGCTTCTTGCAGGCCGATAGCATAGCTCTCATCTGAGATTCTCTACATCACATCTCGAGATCATCCCCGTCCACGTGCGAGAAGATGAGGCGATGGCTAGTGGGATAACCGCATTCTACATACATCTATGCGAGCTCGGCCATCGAGATGATTTACAGCGCGGAACGTGACCCCAGAGGCTTTTGCGTCGGTCCTGCGTTCTTGGCCAGCGTCTTGGAGTGAGCTGCAAGGATATACTATGGTGGTGAAGGATTGCCGAGAGACAGAGGGGAAACACTTGCTCGCATGGGATCCGGTACTCTTGCAGCCGCCACTGATCCACGCTCACGCGCCCACAAACGCCCACATAAAGGTCTCTGATCTTCCAATCAGCAGTATCAATGCGAGCAGTGAGCGAAAGGAGGCGTGGACGAGCAGTTGATACTTGATAGCATGGGGACAGAAGAATGCCCGGTTGTTGCGCACGCCGTGGGATGCGATCCGAGACAGCACCAGCTCCGTCTTGTTCGCTTCCCCATCGTACATACATAGTATGTCGGCGGGTCATGTGAATACTGCTATTCGGTAGCGGACTTCTGGAACAAGATTAATCAGAAGGGGACGCAAGTCTGTTGTGTATTGTCTCAACAATCGACGAGTTTATACGTGAGTGTGGCGGACACATCGAACGGGCCGCTTACAGTTTGCATCTGTCTCTACTTACTGTGGACCATTGTCGATGCCCAGGATGACCCTCACTAGATCGAGAGCCCCTTCTCTTCGGCTCACAGACCATCACCTCGCTTCAGGAGGAAGAAGCGAAATTGGGGCACGCGCAGAGACCCCCGGCTACCCCTGGCCCGTTGACTCAATTACCCCCGGAGTACATATAAAAGGCCCCCATATCCCAGATCTCCTCTTCTGCTTCATCCACTCATTTCTATCCATTCATTTCTACACCACCTTATAACTCAACCCCACCCCAACACCACCAACCATGCGCTTCACCTCCATCCTCTTCGCCGCCCTCCCCATCCTTGGTGCCGTCTTTGCTGCCCCCTTCAACACCGAGGCCAAGAAAAATCTCTCCCTTGCCCCTGCTTCTTCCGAGCTCGTCGAGCGCGATGGGCTCTTGCTCGGTGTTCTCGCCGACCTCAAGGCTGATGTCGTGAGTACTTTCCATCTTTACCCCTGCACAATGTTGGCTGACCCTACCACCAGACCGCCGCTGGCTCTCTCACCGGCGTGACCGCTGAAGCCAATATCAACGCGTGCATCCAAGTTGTGATCGATGCCTTTAACAAGTGCGGCTCGGCCCTTGGTATCGACCTTTCTTTGGGCGTGGACGCAACAGTCGGCGTGGACCTTGGCCTTCTCAAGCGCGAGTTGCAAGAGTGAGTTGAGTCTTCCTTCGTACTCTTCTGCCCAAGCTTACACATTGCTAGGCGATCTGTCGACAAGCAAGCTGTCGCCCAAGCTCTTGTTGACGTTATTGACGTCATCAACGTCAACATTTTGGTCCCCGTCAAGCCCAAACTGTTGACCTGTACCTGCTCCGACACCTACTCTCTTTTCACCGAACTTGACACGCTCCTCACCGGTCTTCTCTGCGCGTTGGACGCTGCTCTCAGTGACCTCCTCGTCATCGTCAAGGGCCTCTTGACCACCGTGCTGGGACTGGCCTCTGTCCTTCTCGGAGACTTGCTCCCCAGCACCCTTGCCGTTTGCGGCTTCTAAGACTACTCGACATATCAGACTTGTTTGGCGGGGACTTGCCCTCTATCTTGAACGTCTCTTCCCATAGCTAGCAATGGTGATCTTCATTCGGGTAGCGTTTGTCTATAATTTATTGGCCGGTTCCTCTTCGTCTCATCTATCTCGAAATCGTGCTTTTGGCATGATCCCCTGCTCCTATGAATCCTTGTGATATACTCAAAATCCGATTGAATTCTTGCTGCAGTACAAGGGATCGCATGAGCCGGTTAGGAAGTTGAGGGACAGAAGAGAAAGAGAGGGTATCAAATGCAGATGGTCGGCGAGTTGAATGATGGCGGCCACGTGGCCGTGGCGGACGTTACCGACGTCACGGTTGTTGTGGTGTGCCGTGCTGCTTGTTCGTTCCGTACGGACGGTTGTTACTCTTTCCTTGATTCCATCTTGCATGAGTCTTTGTATCCAGTCTCTGCATCCCACTTACACAATCCACCCGCCACCTCGCCACCTCGAGTTCTCGAAGAATCGCACCGCATCGCCAGTGGACGAACAAGATGACCACCAGCGAGGGTCAAAGCCCGACCCGCCAAAGGAGCGAAAGTTATTTGGTGGGACCAGGAATTGGTTCAAACATATTTTCGCAAAGCCAGCGACTAGCAAAGCATTCGCTGCGGGCCCCGATGATCCGCGCCAGCCTCCGCCACCCAAAGAGATGCACCAGTCTTCATCAATTGGCGTTGGTGGTGGTGGTGATCAAGGCGGGAAAGAGGCTACGGGGGCCAAGTCCGGAGGGCCGCAAGCGAAGGAAGAGGAATTCCAAGGGGGCTTTGAAGGCAATGTGGCAGCAAAAGTGGAAGAGGACGAACAAGACTTTATAGACAGTGAGTCAGTGCTTTTCGAGAAGGACAATGAGCTAAGCCCCGATGTGCAGAGGTCAAAACCTGGGCACCTAACTCTGCCGACCCGGCACTCGCCTCAGACCCGGCTCCTCGTTCACCTCCGACCTCTCGACCGCCATCGACATCTGGCTCAAGCACGTCTAACGACGACAGTCACGAGGATGACGAGGAATCCTGGGCGGAGTACGTAGATACCGACAGCCTGCCCCCGTCCATTACCATCAAGACCGTCTTGCCGTCCACTATAAACCAGCTGATCGACGATGCTCTCAAGAAACACCGCCTCCTTAACCCCCCTAAATGACCCGTCGGGCGGGTCGGAAAAGGGGGTCTAAGTGGGGTCTTTAGGCTTCCAATGGAACGACCCCCCTTCCATTGGAATGCACCTCAATTTGCCCCCGCCCCCGCACCAAATCCGTACCAAACGAAATGGGTCCATGCACTTGCTCACCATACTAGACTCTTCGTTACAATTGTTTGTCCAGACATCGCTCCCCTACACACTGCATATCCTCTCGTCTGCCCCCCAATCTTCCGACGGCCGTGCGCCGTAACACCGTCGGCTTTCTCCCACTCGTCATCCTTGCTTCCACGCTGTCCCCTCTTCCCTCCCCACTGCCCTTGACGCCGCCACCGCAACCGCCACTCCTCTACCCACACTTGCACGCCTACAAACAGATCGGACTACCATCGCTGTCGGATCTACACCTGCCGCTGTCCCGACTGCGAAGTCCTTTTCCTTCGCTTGCGGCCCTCCGGACTTGGCCCCCGTAGCCTTTTTCCCGCCTTGACCACCACCACCGCCGCCGCCCCAATATCCCCCATATCCCCCACTGCGCCCGTGACGACTGTCCTTGTGACCCTCATCGCTGTCGACCTCACGACCCCGATTATCTCCCTCTCCGTTGTCAGGATTGTGACTACCAGGATCTTTATGCGACGAGGATGACGATAAAACATGTGCTTTGAAAGCTTGGAGGAATCTTTTAACGTCGTGCTCATCGACCCTGTCCTTGGCGTCTCGTCGGGCACTGATGTACCAATGGATAGGAGAGCGAAGAACAGCCTTCACAATGGCAGCATTGTCCTGTGGAGAAAGGTCGTAGAGAGTCGGGAAGCCGGAGTCTTGGCCTTGGGCTGAAGTAGAAGTGGGAGAGGAATCACACCGCTTGCCAAGGGCCGCAGAGACTCTCATGTCAAGAGCAGACTTGAAGACGTGGGTGCGCAATTCCTCGAATTTTCGCAGGCCTTCCAGGTTGAGCAAAGGCCACGGGTCATCAACACCCAGCTGTTCGGCAAGCTGTGGATTTTCCGTATAGGAAAGGAGCAGCGAGTGAGGTAGACTGAGGTAGTCAAACTCCTTGAAGTAAGAACCCAGGGAGGAGTACTCTTGCCCAACGTTTGCGCAAGGTTTGCACTCCACGGCAATGTTGCCCTTGTCGTCGGTGACGAGGAGTCTGCCAAAGAAAGGACCGCAAACAAAGAGACCGAACCGGGTTCCAAACTTCTCCCAAGCATGGTACAGCGACTTGATCAATTGTGATAGCCCCTGCTCGTATTGCTTCTTCGCATCCCACACTGATCTGATCCTCACGTCGGAATCGACCTGGAGTTGCTTGACTTTCGCCACCATGAGCACCCCCACGATAGTAGAAGTGCTCTCTGTTTGAGACCCGGAAGCAGTTTTGGGCGCGCAAAAGAAACATATACGAGATGTTGGCCTCGACCACACCCAACGTAGACAAGGCTTCTGAGGTTACCGGTTCCGGTGGATCTCGCTCGCTGTGTTGCGTTGATTCGACACCAGGCTCGTTCACGATTTCGCCTGTGGAACTCGGTCAGCATAAGTCAACTTGAGGGCGTTGAAAGACGCACCTGCAATGTATCTCAAGGCTGGAGCAATCTCTCCATCCTTTTTGAACTTTTTGGTCGCCGAGTAGAGCGCATCCGCCACAGCAGACTGAGTGGGTTCCCTTACCCGCGAGTACGGAGAGTGCTGATGTGATAGATTGCCCACGCGAGTGCGGTAAATTGCAACTAGACCCCCCAATCGTCTCGACGCATCCACGCGCACAAAGGCTTCCGGAGACCTCCAGCCGTTACTGAACAGCTCGATCTGGAGGCTCGCCTCTGGTTCCCCTGCAAATATGATGCGCATCAGATCGAAGTATCGTTTGGATGCCACTTCCAGAGAAAGATGCTCTGGCAGCTCGAGCCTTAAGAGATCTCCGAGACGAAGATCGCTCCATCCCTTGAGACGCTCGTCTGTCGGAATCGGTGTGGGATTCCATGCTCGACGGACATATTGGTCGAACTCTAAGAGTATCGTCTCGTCGAGAAGTGCAGGTTCCTGGGAGACGACCGGCGGCTGCTTGTCTTTGATTCTACCTGACCGCCTAGGGGCAGGCTTCGACGATCGCTTGTACTGACGTTCGTTAGCGATGATGGGAGGCACCTCTCAGGGGAATGGAGACTGGCGCACCTCTTCGATTGATGAAGACTGGTGCAACCCTTGGGGTGACGGGAGCTGATGCTGTTCATCGGGGCCAGCAGTGGACGCTTTGCCAGTCGCTGGCTTTGCGAAAATATGTTTGAACCAGCCGATTAGCTTTCGCTTTTTTCGCGGGTCGGGCCTTGCCCCTCGCTGGTGGTCATCTTCGTCCATGGCGATGCGGTGCGATTCTTGAAGAACTCGAGGTGGCGAGGTGGCGGGTGGATTGTGGATGTGGGATGCAGAGACTAGATACGAAGAGAGAGATGAAACGCCATCAGCGGCAGTAGGCGTCGAGCCAGCCTCAGCCAGCCCAATGTGATGGTACATGGCCGAACCTCCCAAAGCCTCCGTCAGAAATTGGGCTGTTTCCGGAAAGTGGTCCCGGGATTCTCAGGAGTTGTTGCGGTTTTGTAACATATCTTGGAACCTGTGCCAGCCCACATCAAACTCAGTCATCGTGGCTCAAGCCCGCTAGAAGTCGCCGAAGCGAGGCTTGTTTTCTTTGCGAGATACTGAGGTTGTATGGACATATGTGTACTCGTACAGCTTGAACAAAACGAGTCACATTTACTTCTGGAGACATCGAAGTGCTTGTGAAACATATAGCATACAATGCCAGACTGCGCTCCTGATCTATGGGAACCCGATATGAACATATGAGAGGGTAGATGGCAGGGATAGGCCTCTATATAGTTACGAGAGCTCTGTTGATCACGAGCTTGCTATACGTGTACTTCCGCTCGCGTATTCTTTTTCCTCCTAGCAGAGGTCAGCGTCTCATGCCTCGACTACGCCGGTAAAATGAACACGTACTGTTTCCAGCACCAGCACTGGAAGCTCGATCGCACCCTTGATCGTTCCCTTTCTTCCATGAGTTCTTCGAAGTCTTCGAAACATAGATGGGAGAGCACGGAACCGGACCGAGGATAGAGACCAGTGAGTGACCAGATACTGAGTGAGGATGGAACGATGCGTAGACGGCCTAGGTGCCAGGCTTAAGTCAGCAAAGACTAACCATACAGAAGAAAACAAAGCTTAAGTTAGCATTGATGAAGGCCAGCGCTCGGGCTTCCGAGCCTTTTGAGAGGGCTGGTCCTGCAACTTGAGGACGCCGATCAAGTCAAAAGCGGGAGCCGGATGAGCACCATCCATAAGACAGGGAGTAATCATGGTGGCTTGTAGAGCTGAAATATCTATCAGCATGGATCATAAGTAACAGATGGCACTCACCCGTGGCCTCCAGACAACTGCACTCTCATTCGTTATCCGTCTGAGAAGTCTGCACCACTTCGGCTCCTGCCCATGTAGCTACATCATTCCAGGCATACCTCACCTTACCTTACCGTATGTAGGCAGTTCGCCTGAGAAAGTCGGCCAAAAGCTATATGCGTAGTGTCAGCATCCACCGACCCTTGTAAATCTGGCACAGCTGTAGGTCGGCCAATGGGTCACAAGCACGCGAAGCTGCATATACTACCTGGCAGATACACTCAGCGCTAAACTCCAAGCGAGATGATCGCCGATACACGCATTTGCATGATAAGAGTAGACGAGTATGCATGTTAAAAACAGCGTCTCGAATAGTATATGATGATGCCACAGTGTTTAAATGCCGAAACGCCACAAGGACGCGTCGCGTTTCATCTGTCTATGTCATCCCACATCCACAATCCACCCGCCACCTCGAGTTCTTGAAGACTCGCACCGCATCGCCATGGACGAAAATGAAGACCAGCGAGGGGCAAGGCGAAATGACGACCAGCGAGGGGCAAGGCCCGACCCGCCAAAGAAGCGAAAGTTATTTGGTGGGACCAGGAGTTGGTTCAAAAATATTTTCGCAAAGCCAGCGACTGGCAATGCATCCAGTGCTGGCCCCGATGAGCAGCGCCAGCTCCCGATACCCGAAGAGTTGCACCAGTCTTCATCAACCGAAGAGGTGCACCAGTCTCCTTTGCTTCAAGATGTGTCTCCCATCGTTGCCAACGAACGTCAGCACGAGCAAGGCCCCGATGAGCAGCGCCAGCTCTCGCCACCCCAAGAGTTGCACCGGCCTTCATCAACCGAAGAGGTGCGCCAGTCTCCCTATCCCCGAAGAGGTGCCCACCACCATCGCTAACGAACGTCAGCGCGAACAACCGTCGAAGCCTGCCCCTAGGCGGTCAGGTAGAGTCAAGGCCATGCAGCCCCAACAACCTCCGACTGCTCCCCCGGTCGTCTCCCAGAAACCTGCGCTTCTCGACGAGGCAATACTCTCAGAGTTTGACCGATATGTCCGTCAAGCATGGAATCCCACACCGATTCCGACAGACGAGCGTCTCGAGAGATGGAGCGATCTTCGACTCCGAGATCTCCTGAGGCTCAAGCTGCCAGAGGATCTTTCTCTGGAAGTGGCACTCGAAAGATATCACATTCTGATGCGCATCATATTTGAAGGGGCACCAGAGGCGAACCTTAAGTACGTGCTGTTCAGTGACAGCAGGTCTCCGAACACCTTTGTGCGCATGGATCAGTCGAGACGATTGGGGGTTCAAGTTGAGATTGAACGCAGTCTCGAGGGCAATCTACTACATCAGCACTCTCCGTACTCGCTGATGAGGGAACCCACTAAGTCTGCTGTGGCGGATGCGCTCTACTCAGCGACCAAAAGGTTCAACATGGATGGAGAGATTGCCCCAGCCTGGGCATACATTGCAGGTGCGTCTTTCAATGTCCACGTCTCACTTCTACTGACTGGAGTTCACAGACAAAATCACCAACAACCCTAGGGAGCCGAAGCAGAGTTGCGCCAGTCAGTTGGCGCACGATGCGGATGAGGGCGCAGCGCAGACATCAGAAGCGCCAACCTCAAAAGCGTCGTCTACGACGGGTGTGGTCGAGACCGACTTCTCGTATGCGTTTCTCTGGCGCGCCCGAAACCTCTTCCGAGTTTTGAAGAGGGAGCACTCACATTATCGTGCGGTGTTGATGGTGGTGGAGATGAAGCAACTCCAGGTTGGTCCCGAAGTGAAGATCTCAGTAACGCCGGGGAAGGCGAAGAAGCAATATGAGCAGGGGCTTTCACAGGTGATCAAGTACCTCTACCATGCTTGGGAGAAGTTTGGAACCCGGATCGGTCTCTTCGTTTGCGGTCCCTTCTTTGCCAGACTGCGCGTCATCGACGACAAGGGCACCATTGCTGTGGAGTGCAAACCTTGCCCAAACGTCGGACAAGAGTATTCCTCCCCGGGTTCTTACTTCAAGGAGTTCACCTACCTCAGTCTACCTCACTCGCTGCTCCTTCCCTATACGGAAAATCCACAGCTTGCCGAACAGCTGGGTGTTGATGAGGATAAGCCCTTGCCTTTGCTCAACCTGGAAGGCCTGCGCAAATTCGAGGAATTGCGCACCCAAGTCTTCGAATCTGCGCTGGACATGAAAGTCGCCGCGGCCCTTGGCAAGCGGGATGTTCCCTCTCCCACTTCTACTTCAGCCCAAGGCCAAGACTCCGGCTTCCCGACTCTCTGCGACCTTTCGCCACAGGACAATGCTGCCATTGTGAAGGCTGATACTCGCTCTCCTATCCATTGGTACATCAGTGCCCGACGAGACGCCAAGGACAGGATCAATGAGCAAGACGTTCAAAAATTTCTTCAAGCTTTCAAAGCGCACGTTCCATCATCATCCTCGTCCCCCAAGAATTCTGGCAGTAACAATCCTGACGACGGAGGGGGAGATAATCGGGGGCGCGAGGGCGACAGCGATGAGGGTCGCAAGGACAGTCGTCACGGGCGCAGTGGGGGATATGGGGGATATTGGGGCGGCGGCGGTGGTGGTGGTCAAGGCGGGAAAAAGGCTACGGGGGCCAAGTCCGGAGGGCCGCAAGCGAAGGAAAAGGACTTCCAAGGCAACTTCGAAGACGATGTGGAAGAGAATGTGGAAGAGGACGACGAACAAGACTTCCTAGACAGTGAGTCAGTGCTTTTCGAGAAGGACGATGGGCTAAGCTCCGATGTGCAGAGGTCAAATCCTGGGCACCTAACTCTGCCGACCCGGCGTTCGCCTTAGACTCGGCCCCTTGTATACCTCCATCGTCCCGACCGCCATCGACATCTGGCTCAATCACGTTTAACGACGACAGTGACGAGGATGACGAGGAACCCTGGCCGGATTACGTAGATACCGACAGCCTGCCCCCGTCCATTACCATCAAAGCCGTCTTGTCGTCCACTATGGACCAGCTCATCGACGATGCTCTCAAGGAACACCGTCTCCTTTCTGGGTGCACCGCGGATACCTCTGAACGTCCTTCGCCCACGAGGACAACGAGGACAGCTCGTACCGTTAGTTCGGGCTCTACTCTCGGTACAGCCTCCACAACACTCGTGGACACAAGCTCTTGCTCTGACGTCTTGCGCAACCCCTTACAGAAGCGGCCCGTCGAAGGCTCGCTGAGGGAAGGGCAGGCGTTGAGCGAGTAGGGGAAGAACGAGGGTCGGCCAGGGGCGAGCGGACGAGGTGGGAGCGGGGCGCATGTTGTCGTTGAAGCGTTGAGGGCGGCAGGTGCCACATGCAGCGGAGACGGGGAGGGGCAAGGGGAAGGGTGGTGGCAGTGGCAGTGGCGAGAAACCGCAACCTGGAGAGAATGGGAAGGGCAAACAAAGAAAGAAGGCCAGAGGAAAGGAAAAGGCGAACAAGTCGAAAAGCGTGTATGCGGGCGTAACGTACGTGTCCAATTCTCGCTGACAACCACTCTCCATTTCCCAAGTCATCCCCCCCCCCCCAAACAACTTATCAAATCACCTCGCAAATCCACTCTTGTTTTGCACCACACATTTCTTGAACCAAATCAAACTCGGCAGTCGGCTGCCCTTGTACTTCTATACCGTATCACGAGGAATTAACGAAGGACACGAGGAATTAACGACGGATTTACGCTCTCACCTGAATAGTACTTGTACGCTGTATTAAAATGTCTCACGCTCTCACATGAACCGTACGCTGTATTGAACACAAGCATGGATATCTACTGTCTGAATCAATCGTACAAAATCAGAAACACAAGTCCACAAGTTGGCAGACGCGACGAGCGCGCGTTGGACGCAGAACGAGCAAGTTGCTCGCAAATAAGCAAGACAGCGAGATTGCGAGGGTCGACGATGAAGAATGCAACGGGGTAGCAGAGCAGGCAAGGCATATATATATTCCATTATTCATGCACACACACACACATAACGCAAAAGAGATTGAAGAGTAAAGAAAGAGAGTTTTTTTTTTTCTACAAAAGAGCTTCTTCGACTTGTCCAAAACTCGCAACCCGCGGCAAACTCAACCACTGCCAAACGCCGGTATATACAACGTGTCTTTTTTTGCACCCCGCACAGCACAGACTCTCAACTAGATAGAAAGAAGGAAAAGAAAGAGGGAGGGAAAGGAAAGAGCAAGGAAAGACAAGAGACAGAGACAGAGACGAAGACGGAAGACTTAGAAGCCTTCAACAGCAGTAGCGTTGGCGTTGGCGGCGTTGCCGTTGGAAGAGGAAGGGGAAGTAGACCCGCCGGCGTTGGAGTTGGAAACCTCGGCCGCCCACTGACACCCCCCTATCCCCATCCCCGACATCCCCGACATCCCATACCCAAGTCCCATACCCGTCCTAACCGCCTTCTACACATAAAACTCGTCAGCCCTTGTCCCTAAAGAGAAGGAGGAAGAACTCACTTGAAGGTCCCCCAAACTAACCTGCCCCCCCTGCCCCTGCCCTTGCCCATGAGAAGAAGAAGAAGAAGGATGCACAAACCTCGCGCTCTCGGCCGCAGCAGCCGCCATCCCGCCACTCGGGAATATGCTCGCCAAGAGTTGTTGGGTGAATACGTCCTGTCCGTCCTGCCCCTGCCCTTGCCCTTGCCCCTTGCCGCCTTGAACTTGGTCTTGGCCCTGAGACTGAGAGGAGAAGAGGGAGGTGTATCCCCTCGAAGCTAGGAAAGACTCGTACCCCTGCCCGCCTTGCTGGCCCCCTTGAGCTTGAGCGTGGCCGTAGAGGGAAGGATGGAAGGGAGAATGCCCGTGCGCGTGAGCCTGGGCTTGCGCATGCAAAGACTGGTTGACGAAATACTGCTGTTGCAGCGCCATCATCTGTGCCCCCTGTACGCCTGACACGCCTGGGACGGCTGAGAAAGACTGGGGAGTCACAGACGGCTTGACGTCCTCCCCCTGCTGCCCCTGAGACTGAGAATGGGACAAAGAGAGCGACTGCGAGCGATGGGACGAAGCTGGCGATCCCGAAGGCGTGTGGCTGTACATCGTCTGCGTCTCCACTGCCGAGAGCGGGGGCGTGAGCGCGGGGTGGTGGTGGAATGTCATCGGGGACTGCTCCGACGCCGGTGCTGAAGTAGAAGTGTCGGAGAGGAAGGGGCCGTTGCCGTTGCCGTTGGCAGAAGCAGAAGTGGAGGTGAGGGAGGTGGAAGAAGGGTAGTTGGGCATGGTGTAGTACTCGGGCCCGGGCCAGGGGGCGAAGGGGAGTTTATCGATCGACTCTCTCGGCGTGATCAGCCCATTCCCCGCCCCCGCCCCCGCTCCAGCGACATCCTCATCCTCGCCCTCCTCCCCCTCCTCCATCCCCGCAAACGTCCCAAACGCCTCCTTCTCCACCCCCAACACCTCCTCCATCTCTTCCCCCCACTCCCCTTCTCCCCCTCCCCCCCTCCCCTCTTTCTTGGGGTACCCATTCATCCCCCTCCACTGATTAACCTCCCTTATCAACTCCTCCCTCTCCCCCCACACCTCCCTCAACAGCCTCGCCGCCAACAACCTCTGTTCCCTCTGGTACGCCAGGTGCTTGATACTGCCATTCACAATCGCGCTCTTGGACGGCCGGCGGGCGTCGGCGAGGGAGGGGAGGAGACGGGCGAGGACGATGAATTTCGAGTTTAGGGTTTCGCGGCGGGCGCGTTCGATGGCGTTGTGCTGGGAACGCTTTTCGGCGGTGTTGACTCTTTTGCGGGGTTTGGGCTTGGGCTTGGCACCTGCGCCGGGGGCGGAGGGGGGGAGGGAGGGGAGGGAGTGGTAGGAGAGGGGGTCGCGGGTGATGGGGTTGGAGTATGTACCCGGGGACACCGGGGAAGTTGATGTCGGGGAAAGCATCTCCTTCTTCTTCTTTCTCTTCTTCTTCTTCTACTCTTTGGTTGTTGTGCGGTGTGGTGAAGCAAAAGGGGGAGAGGTGCCGCGAGACGGATCTCAAGCGTGCACAAGGAGGTCGGAAAGAGTTGGGTTGTAGTTGAACGACTTTAGACGGCCAGCTTTGTCGATCTATGCAAGCGTTGCTCGCAAAGTGATAGTGGTAGTGAGAGGGGTGGGGTGGGAGGAAGAAGTGACTGGGTCGCGAGCACTGTAGTGCGTAGACGGTTGCCGGGTGATGGGAGGCGCAGGCAAAGGATGCAGAGGGGTGATCGAGTCGCGAGAGTGTATGGGATGGGATGGGAGTGGCGGTGATGGGCAGAGGCGGGGAGACGAGTGTCAGCGCTGTTCATTCTGGGGGTGACGACAAGGTTCACGGCAGCGGCGTCAGTCCTCGGGGCCGGGGGCGGGGGCGGCGGGGTGTGCTCGAGGAGGGGAGCGCACTGCCTTTCGTCCCTCTAAAGGGGTGGAAGTGGGGGGCAGTGTAAGGGGTACGAGAGGGGAGGAGAGGGGAAGGGGGAGAGAGGTATGGAGGAGGGGTAGGGCGAGATCAAGGCTTATCTCGAATCTCCCGCCAGATGACAGATCCACCCGCCTGTTGCTTGATACTCGATGCACTCCCATGTCCCAAATCCACAGAGGGCAGCACAGGCGGTAGAACACTCCCATACCACCCTCACACGACCCACCCCCCGCCCCGCCCCGCGCCGCACAACCGATGCCCATCTCCCATCTCGCACCGGAACCCAACAAAAACCAACACTCACGAGCAAGCGGTATCCTTATGTCACAGCAGGAGGAGGCGGGGCGTGCGCTGGCGGGGCGTTGGTGTGTCTCGCAGAGAACAGTAATAGGAGGGGGACAGGAGAGAAGAAGAAGGAAGAAGGAAGGGCGTGAGAAAAAGAGGTTGCCCAGCGAGCGGCTCGAGCGGCAATCCACCCAGCGGTACCAGATTCGGGCTGCCCGGCCCACGCAAAACATACACAGAGCCCAGGAACTGGGGTATCAATCCCGGAGCCCCCGCATCATCTCAGGGCTCATCCAAAAGAACTCAGGGAATCAGGGGGTACCGTAAAGATCGGGAGGCCGGGGCAGCCCTTCCTTCTCTCCTTCTCGCGCGGGGATCTGCACCAACTTGATCGGCCATCCCCCCAAAACTACCCCTTGGGGAAAGAGATGGCGAGGAACGAAAGGAACGATCAATTGAAAAATACAAATTGAATCCAGGGACACAGGGCGAGTTAGTGTTAAAGAAAGAGGGCAGATCGAGGGACAAGGGACCGTCCTCCTATTTGGCCGAGAGCCGTATCTGGGCCTTTTGGGCTGGACCGCCTGGAAAAGGCTGGATTGGTTTGGTGGTGCGCGGGAGGGACACAAAGCACAACATTTTCGTTGTCGGTAGCCTTGTCGCTACCCAGAAACTCCGATATTGCGTAGTGTGGCGGGGCAGCAGCAGTCAGCAGCAGAGGGAGCGACGTATTCTCTGACCTCTCCTCTCCCCTTCTCCCTCCTCCCTCTTTGATGGCCCGTTGATGCATATCAATCACATCATACTTCAACATCCAACTCAACTTTCCAAAGAATAAGCGCCCCGCCCGCCCAACCGTCCGATCTTTCCGCTTTCTTCTTCTTCTTTTTTTCGTTCTCCCTCTCGTACCTCTCGTAAGAAGTGACAGAAGTGACAAAGAGGCGCCAGCAGCAAGAGCGTCTGTATGTATGAGTGTGTCTCACACCGCTCCCGGTGATCGCCAGAGTGACATAACCCGATACCCAAACTCCATTCCCTCCACTTTATCCACTTTCGTATGGATTCCCCCCTCTTATAGCATACTTACCCTACGTACTTGAAGTACTCGTACTGTACATAGTCTTGCTCCCGGCGTACCCTCCATCCATCCAGACTCATAGACAGTCTAGGAGGTCGCCAGACGCCAGACGCCGGGCGCATACAATCTCGTTAAAAACGATGGATCATCTATGCAAACAATACGAGTAATGTAAGTGCCCATCATGCGAATGCAGTACGAGCAGAGGGGTCGAGGTCGTCGGTGTCCCTATCGCTCTGACCGCCTGGCCGTCGTCTGGCCGGAAACGGCCAGGTGGTGTCCCGAGCGCTGTGCGTTCAGCCTTGAGCTTGCGTCGTTTATACTTTATACTTTCTTATCATCAAGTTGGCAGATCTAGTCGGCAATATTCTATATGGCCGCACAAGGGAAAAGCAAAGCCATTTTCCAGAGAAATGGTACTGGAATGGAAAGACAAGGTCCCACTGGCTTTGCTTCACATGATTGACCACCAGAAGTCGGCGGGGCGGTTGAAGGTGGCTCTCACGTCATGTTCAGCGTGGCGTGGGTCTAGACAACAATCTGCTCGATGCATTTCCGTACTGTAATCTCATACAAAAGACCCGACGATAAGAATGAGATTCCAAAGTATATGAAAAAGTATGGGAAACAAGCTAGGTATATATTACAATATATAGAGGCGACCCTTTGCGGGAATCACCCATGAGACGTGGGCCACTTGTCTGCCGACATGGTGTCAGCATCTGCAGTGAATCCAGAAAGCTGTAACGGGCCACAGTGCCCATGCCTGCCTTTGAGGGGAGGTGCACAGGCTCCCTTGACCTCTGCAGGGTACTTTGCAGAATGTCGAGCGTCCCAGCGATTTGCTGGAAGAACTCGATTATCATTAGAGAACGCTGAACAACGAGGGAAGGCTCGGGACCTGGTCACATAGGCCGATCTTGGTGTCCCGAGCGCTGTGCGTTTAGACGTCGTCGTTTCCATTTGTCCGTAGTATTCGTCACTCTTTGGGTACGAATACAATCAACCTACCTACCTATTCATTATTATGATGATGAGGTGCTACACCCCAATATGATCCATATCAAGCCCCAACTCGTTTTCCCCGGGGACGGCTGCACTTGTCGTAGTATCCAGACTAGATCAGTCGACCTGACGGTCGTCGTCGTTGTCTGGTGTACGAGAGGTGAAGTACTACTTCTCTTTCTACACAATACACACTATGTAGTACAGGTTGCCAGTCCATTTCTCTTACGCTGATAAAGTCACAAAAAACCAGACAACAAAGACAGCAGAGAGGCGCCGAGCGTGATTGCCACTCCTTCTCGGAGGTACACGTCCTGGCTCTTCAGCCCTTTCAAGGCCCTCCCAAGATGACGTTTACATGCATACTGCATACTCCAGTACTTTTTTGGTCCAGCTTCGATCGAGTCTGATTCATTACCTCCACCTTCTGTTCGTTCATCTATCTCCACCTTCTTGTTCGTCATCCATCTTCACCTTCAAGCTTGTCCGCCCAAATCCGTCGTTAGGGTACTATCCAGCGTCATGTCAGGGTTGATGTAGCTCGGATCACTAAACGTTGGTACTGGATCTGTCCAAGAGCACGAGGAAAGGTCCGCCGGGACATCTGAAACCCCGCTCGTTGAAGGCCACAGCTCTCCCCCATCCCTCACCGCCGCAGCAGTAGCAGCAGCGCCACCAGCAGCAGTGCCACCAGCACTCCCCATCCCATGCCCCGCCCCCACCCTTGAAGACCCATTCCCACCCCCCAAAAACCCTTCCACAAAACTCACCCTCTCCTCCAACAGCCTCATCCTCTTCTCCTGCACCTCGTTCATCTTTGTGAGCGCTTGGACGGATTGTTGGCTTTGGTACAGTTTGAGGGAGAGGGATGCGTTGGTTGATTTGAGGGAGGTGATGGTTTCGTTCTTTTTGCGGCGGGAGAGGTGGGCCGCGTCTCGGTCTGCAGTGTATCAATCGTCAGTCACAATGCCCAGCGCAACAAGAAGAAATTTAAAGGCGGCGGAAACTCACTCCCGAGAATGCGCCCAACTTCCTTCTCTTCCTGCGTCTTATCCGCTTTCGCCGTCAACGCTTTCAAACTGTTATTGAACCGGCTCATCACGCGTGTGATCATATCATCAATCTCTGTCCGGCGGCCGCCTTGGTATTTTCGGACGCCAGCTGAGGTGACTCCTTTTGATTTCCTAGTGGTGGTATTTGTACGCTTGGTTGAAGTGACGGTGGTGGTGGTGGTGGCGGCGGTAGAGGCAGGGGTGGATTTGGAAGACTGTTCACCCCTTTTTGCACGGCCGCGGGTGGCGAAAGGGTTACTACTGGGAACGACGGTGATGGGTGGGATAGGGATAGATCGTGTATCGCTCTTCTCGTGATCGAATCGATTCCAAAATTCAGGACCTTTTTCTTTGTCTACTTCTTCACCACCATCACCACCATCACCGGCATCACTGAAAGTAGTACCGAAAGGACTACTATTCAAGAGGGAAGGATCTTCGAGATCATAGCTTCCTGGTAGCTGGGATACTTTGTCTTCCTGTTTTGGTTGTCCTGTCTCATCTTCTTCTTGTATGTTTGCCAATAAGGAAGGCGATATGCCCATAGCCCCATGACTCTCGAGATCCCCAAAGTCGACTGTACCTCCATTACCCTGGGCCGACCACAATGGATCGCCGTAGAATGGATATGGATAGGCTTGCTGCCATGACGAGGAAGAAAGATCAGTGGTGGACTCTATTTTGGATGATGATAGGTCTAGAGGGGCAAGGTGGTTGTGTGTAAAGCTCTGGGGAAGATATTCAGTCATCTTTTGCTTTGGTTTTGCGTTGTTTTGGGTTGTTGTTGTGAATGCGTAGGAAGAGGATCAGGGGTTAAGGAGGAAGGAATTGGGGCGAGAAAGAGATGTGAGAATGTCTTTTCGTACAGACAAGAGAACAATTCATATACGTACTGGTACAGCCCAATGACCTACCAGTCCTCCTTCTTCTTTAGTCCAGCCTCCGACAATAGTCCCTCTCAAAAGGAACGTGCCAAAAGCAAGAATACTTTCCATTCATCTCACCATCGTCTGAACGATACTCCGTCCACCCTCGGCGGTAGGTTTAGTTATATCCGATGTGGCGACGACTCTCCTTTTTGCATACGGAATGTGCCACAACACCTTACAGCTTGGTACGGATTAGCATCACACGTCATGTACCCAGCAGCGGGTACTCGACGGGGATGTGAAGGGAAGAATAGGTGGGTATGGGCATGACCTGGGCCAGGCTCTTCAGTTCATGATACATCTGCGTACCATTTTGAGGCCGAGTGAGATACTGGAGATGGATCGTTGTCGAAGGCTAGACAAATCTATAGGCGCCTGTGCCCTCTCCCGATCGATACATTGTCGCCACAGATCAGCCTCTATATGGAGACGCGAGTGGGACGATGACATTATGCTGCTGAAGCCATTGCGATCACGTCATATCATCCTTTGTCTACCCGGATGCAACACTACGCGACTGCTGAATCTTCCGGCCTCATACTGACTCTATGGTATTGGCTACTATTGACAGCACCGCATGTCTATCCTTGCATAGTACAGTATTGGAGATCGGAACTGATTATTCTGAAGCTGTTGCATGATACAGTTCTTCCAGCCTCATCCAGCTATCTAGCTCATTCATCCTGGCCTTCATCATGGTCGCTTGTGTCCATTTGCGTCTCGTACTGGATGTCGGAGCGGTCAAAACCCATATTACCTGATTGAGCCGACTGGTACCAAGAAACATTATCACCATCATGCTGTGGTGCTTCGGAAGAGGAACATAGATCACCACCTTCGCCATACGCCGTACCTCCGGCCCCTTGATACAAGGTTTCCATTCTGCTCAGCTGCGACTCCAAAGAGCGAATTCGATCATCCATCGCAGTCAATTGGAGGTCATGTTCAACTCTTGCTCTTTTCATAGATACAATAGTGTTATCCCGATCTTCTAGCATTTCAGACAATCGCGTGTTGTCGGACTGTAAAAATGCCGTCCGTTCTCGGTCGCGCTTGCGATAATCTGCGAGCGATCTTCTGTCTGTAACAAATTTGGTATTCGCCGTCAATAATGATTTCAGAACGTATGGTGAGCGCTTTAAGCCTCACTACGAAGGATAGCCCAGACCTTCTTCTCTTCCGCCGTCTTGACTGTTTTGTTCTTCAATTCGTCCTCGGAAGCAAAGCTCTTCATCACCTGTATGATCATGTCTCTCTTGGCCGGATCCTTCGTGCGTTTAATAAACACTGATAGATCAAGATCTGTGTTGATCGCCGAAGCGGAAGAGTTGGAAGCTACTGACGGAGAGGCTGATCGGGCCATGATTGATTTGGGATTTGAGACTTGTCTTTTTAACGTTCTCCAGGCTCTGGCTCTCCAAGGAAGGACTCTGGACGAGCCTTTACCATTATCAGCCACGTGACTTTCTTGCTGCATGGCACAATCAGTCAGTGACTGTGATTACTGAGATAGTGGTTCGTATGGACGACATACCGGCTGAGATGGATATCCATCAGCAAACAAGCCAAGAATGGCGTCTTCGTCAGGCTCGAATTCTTCCAATTCCTGTGCGGAAGCCGGTACATCAAAGCGTCCTAAGTCACTGGCCTCATAGGACGAAGGGTTGCGAGCTACTTCAGTCATGTTACCGTGGCGTTGGGAGGTCGAAAAAGAGTGAGGTCACTTGGGTTTGTTTGGTGGTCACAGGGGGGAGCTGACAGGGGCACCTGTGTCTTCTTTATAGACCATAGTGACCCGATATAAGGTATATCTGGAAAATGTATCTTAGACCTAAAAGGGCCATGGCTCCTTTCATGATATGTTCACCATCCGCCACCCGCAATTAGGCAACACAGATGCAACGGTGATGCAGATCTTTTAGCACGCAGACGATAATGGTGCAAATGAACGTCGGAGCTGAGTATAAGTGGTTCATTCTGCCACAGATACCCTTTATGGAGTGTCCCCAGTCAAAGACGGGGAGAGGTATTCACACCACGGGAACACGCGTAGGATAGCAAAGCGGCACCGACATGTTGCATGCACATGACTACTGCTAACTGCCCTATCTACGGCCCCACGCTCTTGTCACGCCAAAATAGCCTTCACTGCCTTTCCCCGTACACTTCTGTCCCACTCTCCTCGGTTGCTTGCACCAAACTCTCCATTGCGCTGAGCTGCGTCTCTAAACGGCGAATGCGTTCCGCCTTCACCGCTACCTGATGATTCTGCTCCTCTCTGATCTTTGACAGAGTTTCGATAGTGTCATCGCGGTCTTTCAACATGCTAGACAATTCACTGTTCTTAGACTTCAGCTGCTTCATCGTTTCTCCTTCTCTGTTGTAATGAATTCCAGCCTTCCTTCTATCTACGACAATAGTTCGTCACCGTCGACACACGCTAACGTCAAGAGCTTGGCGGCAGGGAGAAATGATTGTACTCACTCCCAAGGATCTTCCGAACCTCCTTCTCTTCCCACGTCTTATGCTTCTTCTTAGACAAATCGTCGTAAGATTGAAAGCGGCTCATCACACGACTGATCATGGCATCCGTCGAGTTGTTCTGACCCGACTTGTTGCTTGTACGCGAGCAGCCGCTGGACCGCGTAGAATCCTTTCGTGGAAGGATTGGCCTGGACCCTCTGACACCATCAGGATGATAGGAAAGGGTATCATCCAGTGGCTGGGAGGTCGGGAAGACTGAATCCACAGCATAACCCTGGAGATACAATCAATGGCATTATGCGAAATGGGAACCAAAGGTTTGAGGAGGAAGAGGGACATACTGGCTGAGATGGTTCTCCACCTGCAAACATACCAAGACTGGCACTATCGTCAGGCTCATAGCCTTGCAAGTATGCTAAGGAGGGCGGGACACCAAACTGTGATCCATCATTGCCTTGGCTAGGCCCGGGAAGAAGGAATGATTCTCCGTAGGAGGACGAAGGATTGCCCGATTCTTCTTCTTCGGCCATGTTCTGTTTTGCGATGTAGCTGAGAGTGTATGCAATCGTATGCTCAATAAAGAATGCAGGTCATTATATGTCTTGTTTCGTGTTGTGGTACTCTCTGGGTTTGCTCGTTATGATATCCTCCTTTCGCGGCCAGATTCAAGGGGGTCAACAGCAAGGTTCCTGGCATGTGGCGTTCATCGCCCGCCAGGTAGTATCCCAAGAATAGCAAAGTCGAAATAGCAAAAGGTCGGTCCTGTATCCACACGGTGATGATTATGAGCACCGCAAACCTCCGAGAACTTGACCCCCCGCGGCTGCCGGGGTGTGTGGGCTGTGGAGTATCGTGGAGTGTTAGGCGAGAGCGGTTGGATGGGCTTGAACATCCTGCCTCGATTATAGGATTGTGGCGAGGGGAGAGAATTGGTAGAGACGACGGAGCAAACGCGCGAAAGTGAAGAGAACAGCCCCGCGCTGATGACGAGAGCTCTGAAAACTGATGCACGTCAAGAGATCTGCTGCCGTTTCCTCGGGTTCAAAACCCCCTATTGGGGGTTTACTCCAAGTTGTGAGCTTGAGATCTGAGGGTCTCGCGTTGTCACAGAGAGGGAACACTATGGGTCGAATATGGATGCTAGTAGTTTTTAGTAGTTCGTAACCGTGAGTAGGCTGGCGGCGGTATCCGCAGTTCGGTCATCCGCGCTCGCTCGGATAAAACTCGGCCAGCTCTTCCGCCCCAATTCCGCCCCGCCATGCTAGGCGCTGCCACAAGGTATCTATTGCACCATCGCATCCCCTACAAGGCTACAAAACAGCACAGCACAAAGAGAGAGATAGGCAGCTTCAATAATGTCCCAGAACGACAAAATGGACAAGTCGTTCCTCACCGCCGACGTCGACGACCTCCTCAAGCAGCTCACCACCGACGAGAAGATCGCGCTCCTGGCCGGTAAAGACTGGTGGAAGTGAGTCCCTCTTGCTGGATGTACTACGAGAGAGTCAGAGCTGAAGTGACGCAGTACGGTCGATGTCCCGAGACTGAATATCCCTTCGTGAGTCGGCTGTCTTTTTCCGCGGGCGAGCTGACAGGAGCAGCGTCAAGATGACTGACGGGCCCGGAGGGGCGAGAGGAGACTCTTTCTACCACATGAGTATGTTCTTTGTATGCTTTCTGAAACAGGCGTCTGACGCTTCACTAGCCCCCGCCTCGGCACTGCCGAGCTCCACCGCCCTAGCATCGACCTTTTCCCTCCCCCTCATCCACTCTGCCGGCCAGCTCCTCGCCCTCGAAGCTCTTGCCCGTAATGCCACAGCGCTGCTGGCACCTACGATCAACATTGCTAGGTCACCGCTCGGCGGGCGGGCGTTTGAGAGTTTCTCGGAAGATCCGACGCTCGCCGGGCAGTTAGCTGGGGCATACATCCGAGGTTTGCAAGAAGGCTCCAAGAAGGGAGACGGGCTTGGCAAGGGCGGTGTGGGAGCGGTGATCAAGCATTTTGTGGGAAATGATCAAGAACACGAACGTATGGGCGAAGACTCCCTCATCTCCCCTCGCGCCCTCCGCGAGATCTACCTTCGCCCCTTCCAGATCGCCCTCCACCTCTCCTCCCCCTCCGCCTTCATGACAGCCTACAACAAGCTCAACGGAACGCACTGTTCGGAGAACGAGTGGCTTTTGGAACAAGTGTTGAGGAAGGAGTGGGGGTTTGAGGGATTGGTGATGAGTGATTGGTATGGGACTTATTCCGTGAGCGAGTCGATCAATGCGGGGATGAACCTCGAGATGCCTGGGCCTGCAACGTGGCGTGCAGAAGGGCTCGTCCAGCATCTTCTCAACGCGCACAAGATCGACCCGCGTCAACTGGATAAAGTCGCTGGGGGCGTGTTGAAGTGGGTTCAGAAACTTGCCAGGGCAAATGAAGAGCTCGTCTACTCTCCCGCCAGCCCAGAGAATACCAGGACGGAGAGTCAGGAGGAAGATGCCAGGTTTCTCCGGCAACTAGCCGGCGATGGCATAGTATTACTCAAAAACGAAGAATCGATCCTTCCCATCCAACCTCCCACCTCTACGAAACCCAAAACAGTCGCCGTCATCGGGCCCAACGCCAAAGCCAAAGTCCTCACGGGCGGCGGCTCGGCCACCCTCCGCTCCTCCTGGTCGTCCTCCCCCTGGGAAGGTCTTTCCACCAACTCCCCCGAGGGCATCGAGCTCTCCCATGCTCAAGGCGCGTTTACTGGCAAGTTCTTACCCACCCTTGACGCGTCTTTCACCTGCCCGGACGGGTCCCCAGGCTTTCAACTCTCCCACTTCTCCCTCGCCTCCTCCGGCGTTCCTGAAGAAGAACCAACGTTCGTGGAGAAATGGGACGACTCGAACATGTTTCTCGCCGATTTCAGCCCTCCCAACTTGTCGAGGGATTACATCACCCAGCTCGACGCTATCTGGACGCCAGAGGAAGAGGGCGAGTACGAGTTTGGGCTGTCGGTGACGGGAAAGGGATGGGTGTGGGTGGATGGGGAGCTTGTGGTTGATGTGTCCAAGCCGGTGAAGAGAGGCTCGGCGTTCTTTGGGTCTGGGAGTGTGGAAGTGAAGGGTACAGTCAAGGTGGAGAAGGGCAAGGTGAGTTGTCTCTCACTCTCGCCCATGGCCCGTAAGCTGACAGGGTGATAGCGATACGCCTTCAAGATGATCCACGATACCCGACCCCCAGCTACAAACGACGCCAACACCCCCTTCCGCAACCCCGGCATCCGCCTCGGCGTCGCCCCCCTCATCTCCCCCTCCCAACTCATCTCCAACGCCGTCGCCCTCGCCAAATCGAGCGATATCGCCCTCCTCGTCGTTGGCTTGAACGCCGATTGGGAGAGCGAGGGGTACGACAGGCCGGATCTGTCTCTTCCTTTGAACACCGACAAGCTCATCTCCTCCGTCGCGGATGCCAACCCGAACACCATCGTCGTCATCCAAGCCGGCTCTGCCGTCTCGATGCCTTGGGTCGATAAAGTCAAGGGTGTGGTGCACGCGTGGTATCTCGGGAATGAGACGGGAAATGCTATTGCCGATATCGTATATGGAACCACCAACCCCTCGGGTCGACTGCCCTTGACGTTCCCAAAGAGAGAGATTGATATCGCCGCTCACCTGAACGCGAAATCGGCGAGGACAAAGGTTCATTACGAAGAAGGCATCTGGGTGGGATACAAACACTTCAACGCCCGGGGTATCGAGCCGCTCTTCCCCTTCGGCCATGGCCTCTCATACACTTCCTTCTCATACACTAACCTCCGCATCTCCATCTCTCCGAAGAAGGTGAAGGAAGTCGGGGCGGACGGGTGGAAAGTCGAGGTAGAGGTTGATGTGAAGAATGAAGGCGAGCGAGAGGGTAAACATACGGTGTTGTTCTTCTTGACGCCGCCGAAGGAGACGGAGACGGGGTTGAAGCATCCAGAGCGGACTTTGCAAGGGTTTGAAAAGGTCGAGCTGGAGGCGGGGGAGACGAAGACGGTCAAAGTGGTGTTTGACAAATGCACGTTCTTTATTCCTCTTAACACTCTCTGGGTATATGCTAATTCATTCTCTTAGATGCGGTATCTCATTGGGACGAGCTCTGGAACACTTGGCGCGCCGAGCCGGGCGAGTGGACAGTGAGAGTTGGGGTTGATGCTGGAAAAATGTGGGAGGGAGAAGAGGCAAAGTTTAGGATTGAGGATGAGCTCGAGTGGAGGGGGTTGTAAAAGCCGAAGATCGCTGTTGCCCGAACAGATATGTTCTTGTACACTGGATGTACTGTAATCGTACTTGAACTCGATTCAGCATATACGAGCTTAGCTTCTTTCGGCTCTGCTACATCTCGCAAGATACGTGTTCCTACTTGGGGATAGCGCCTTTGAATCGGTTTCTTTCCACACCCGTGAACCCCAAGCCCTTTACGACAAACAAATCGCCTCCATCTTTACGCTCCGCAATGTTTTCGGGCTGGTCGTCTGTCAAGTTTGAGGCTGCCGAAGTGATATACAGCTCATCGAGCTTTTCGCCTACTCCCCATTAGCTCCACGTCCACCCACAGCTCATGACAAAGAAGGAGCTGAAAAAGAGCAGACGTACCTCCAAAGATAAGACATGTCATGTTCCAAGCACTCGGAAAGTCAATCTCAACGTCAATCTCTCCCTCTGGCGTGAAGCGCAGCACTTTGCCAGCGCCAAACCGGGCGGACCAGACGCCGCCCTCGGTGTCCATACACATGCCGTCGGGGAAGCCGAGCTCTTTGGTGTCGACATTGCTGAAGATCTGGGGGTTGAAGAGTTTGCCAGTCGCCTGGAGAAGGTGTCATTTGTATGTACGTGGGATGAGGTGGAGGGTGATTTGGAGGCTTACGAGGTCGTAGTCAAATCTCTTGATGGTTTTGATCCAGCTATCGGTAAAGTACCTGCAAGGTTCATGAGCCTCGACCAGTGCGCCATGGGAGAAGAGAGCTCACAAAGTCTTATTATCATCTGTCCACCCCATACCGTTCGTACATGTAATCTTATCCAACACCAACGGCGCAGAGTACTCTCCTTCTTCACCTACTTGGAAAGAGTACATTCTCGAATTCACGTCGCCTATCTTGTAGCCCATCGTTCCTGCCAAGAACCGGCCAGCTGGATCGACAGCACCGTCATTGAATCTCGACTCTCCTGCGGTCAGGACGACCTGTGTACTGGGGGTAGGCTGAGCGGGGATGAGGGACTGGAGGGATTGAGTTGGAGGAAAGGGGAGGTGAGTGAAGGGGATATAGGCAAAGCCGTCTTCGACCGCCGCGATAAGCTGTTATATATTGTCAGCTAGATGAGCGTAGAGAAGAACGAGAGACACTCACACCATCGCCGTTTTCCAAGAGAGCAAGGGCAGTGATGTTCTTCTCAAACAGCTCATATCCGTGCTTGCCTGACGAAGGCTCATAGGTGAATACCTTGTTCTGTTCGATATCGACAAAGTAGAGGCGCTGGCCCCGGGAGTCCTTCAAATGATCATTAGCTCAGTCTCCGAGGCTGATATGAATTGATGTACCCAAACGCATCCTAAGAGGCCAAGCCTTATCAGCAACCGGCTTATCTACGACCACCTTTCGGTAGGGGCACGCTTGCCTGGGGCTTGACTTACCTTCTCCGAGGGTGTTCTGGACTTTCAAAAGCGACTCTTCGACGACGATTTTCTTGACCATGACTGTTGACTGTAGTTGAGGGGGAGAGTTGGTGATCAGAAAGACGCTGGAAGATGTTGCAAAAGCTGGTTTAAGCACCGCGGAGAGTGGACCGGAAGTTCGGCTCTCCGGATCGATGACGCCGCGTCGGACAAGGCCGCTACAAGCTTATGGCCGTCCCGGCGGACGAAATGAGAGCAGTCAGTCAAGAGTCAGACGCATGCATCACATACGGTGCATAGCTGCATACGGGCCCTTACTTACCTTTGCCGAGCATGTTGTTTATTGCCGAAATGAACGACGTGTATAGTCGCCAGTTTTGATGTAGGGGCTGATTGACCTGCCGGCAATCATGATGCTTCTTTTTGCTCATTGCCGCTTCACTGTGATCATCAAGAGGTCGCAATCAACGTGAATTCTCCCACTCTTCTTCTTCTCGGATCAGAACCGAGACTATCTCAGTGAGGCTTTCTGAAGTATGTCGCTGTCGGGTGGCAAAGGGTGACAAGACGAGACAAGACGTATTATTTGAGCCCTTTGAGTGTGTTCTCGTGTGTCTCGTGACAGACAGAAAGTGTCACGACCTAGCTGGGACGCAGCAGGGAAGTGACTGGAAAAGGCGATTTTGGAGGGGTAAAGACCTTTTATGTATTATCGCATAGAGAAAGAGTAGACAATGAGATATGAATTGAGTATGTACACCGCGCGTCCTTCAACCATCCACACAACTCAGCGCCAATGCCACTTCAGGGAATTGCATCACTACGTGTGACAGAAAGCAGCTACATACGACATATGAGCATACACTGTCATATATTGCCGGTATCATGGACGGCCAATGTTGGTGATGAGAAACATTGGCGGATATTTGCTATGGTGCACCAAAGGGAAAATGTTTCTTCTCTCGCTATACACTATTTTCTACATTTCGATAGCGTATCCCGTCAAGGTTACGAGTACACTAGTCAGCCAAGATACCCCTGTAAAATGGGTTTCACCGAGCGAAGTAATCCAGAAGACCTACACGATAGGTCACCTGCTCGCATCTCGTTCCTTGTTTTGGGTGTTCCAAACCGATAGCTACCTTGCACCAAGGACAGCAGTAGTAGGCGCACCATAATACGCCCCTGATTCGATAGTAGATGTGTGTGGCCATTCTATTTTGAGTTGGTCTGAAGATGGTGATATGTTGATTTAGCGTACAACAATGAGCAAGTGCAGGATATGTTTAGATCTGGCGCTGGTGGTAGGTACAAAAAGAAGGCACAGAGTGGGCAAATGACAAGCGGCCAACAACGAGAGGTCATGTTATATAGCGTCCCGGGTAATCAAACTGCATATACCACCATGCATTTCTCCTTGCCGTAGCAGCCGCATTTGTTGAGCCAACAAATAAACATCCCAACCCAGTGGGATCATACATGCAGGTCAGTGCATTTCCTTACTTCTCCGTCGGCCCCATTAAAGCTTGTCCATCATAGGTTGAGGCATATAAAAGCACCTCGCAAGTCGCAGCGCAGCTATGGGCACGTCAGACATGCTTTAACGTACGGGAACTTTGCCACGTTCAACACACGAGGGACAGATCGGTAGGCACCAGTCTCATGGGTGATTTACTTCAGCTCAATCTATACGAGTGTTCAACGTAGCCATCTGTGACTTTTTCTTCACTCTATGACCATGTCAATATGTGCCACGCAACGATACAATCCCCAGACATGTATCTTCGTGCTATCGTACTCTCCACTATCCCATCATCCCTTTGTCAATCATTCCACTCCTATCATTGATATAGATCATGTATTGCATGCAACTTTGATTCTGTCAATATTCTCAAGTTGTTGGCTGGCCCGCACTAGTCGTGGGATTGTAGGTCGTTGCATCTATATCTTGCGCTAATAGAGCAAGGTCGATGCAGCTCGAGTCACTGATATTACGCTCCAAAGATCGTCGGGGCCTTTTGAAGGCGCTCCAGGAAAAAACGAAGTTGATCCTTGCTGATCAAGCGCTCCCGACTTGTACAGTACAGTACATGTATACATGAGAACGGACTTCTGATTTATATACCTTACAGACCCTCGCGATTCCCTATGCGCTGATCACTCAGGCAGAACCGCTCAATTCCTCCACCCGGTTCAGAAGCAGCTCTTTCGACTTTCTACAAGCCTGCGCATACCTCCTCGGCACGTCCGGATCATCAGCCCCCATATAGATACTCTCAAACACCTCAAACATGCAGTATCCTACCCCAACCCCGTCAGTCTTTCTCTCTTTCATTTTTAAGGGTACTCACCCCGCCAGCCAGTGCTGAATATCGCCTTGAGCGTCTCCACCACCCTCGCAGCATCACTCTCCCCTACCCTCCTCGCCTCCTCCTCCCCACCATCCCCCCCTCCCACCCCTCCATTCGGCCCCACAAGCGGTACAGGTCTTGCATAAAACACCCATTTCCCCCTTGCATTCTTTCCCTTCCCATACCCCTTATCATCCTCCCTCGCTGACTCGTCGAATTTGGATCCACCATAGAGGGGTGGAGAGGGCTGGAGCACGTCGGAGAGCTCGAGGTAGAAGATCTTGTCTTTGGGGAGGGCGCGCAGGCGGGTGAGCATGGATGTGTATTCGGGGAGGGACCAGCCGGTGCCGGTGAGGGGGTCCCAGCCGTATGTTGGGGAGAGCGCGAGTTGGGCGGTGTCGAGGCAGAGTCCGAGGTTTGGATGATCCTTTTCATACCATCAGCTTTTCGCACTTTCGAGCGAAATCCAGATGGACTTACAGCAAGCTGGACAATCTTGTAAGTATACTCCCAGTCGCCTCGCAGGTCACCAAAACACCAGCATTCGTACGCAATCTTGACCGGTGGCTCTTGTTTCGCGCCGAGGTCTGCGAGCCAGCGCATGTCGGAAGCCGTTTTTTCGTCGTCTGCAGAAGCGTCTTTCCTATCATTCGCACCGACCTATATCACCCTGCTATCAGCTCTGCTCTTTTCTCTGAAGAAGACGGAAATAGAGCAAACGCACCTGTAAAAACTCCACCCCGAGCTCCGCACACAACGACAACCACCTCTCCGCCTTCCTCCTCGACCACTCCTCCCTCTCATGTCCCTCTGGCCATCCTTCGAAATGGTTCAAAGGCTGGAGCACGATGACTGTCAGACCATACTGGTTGGCGAGGGCTGTGAATTTGGGAGCGAAGGTGGAGAGGGCGGCCCAGATCTCCGAGTCAGAGGGATCTGGTTCGCGGAATTCGGCCCATGCTGGGGGACAGGTGGATTCGGGTCTCCTCAGTTTGTCAGCTGGTTTTCCTGCCTCATTCCAATAGAAGGTATGCATCGAACTTACAGCTCTGGCTTCTGCTGCCTCACCCACCCAATATAATCCGCCGTCAGCACCTCGCAATACCTAAAACCCGCTTTCTGCAGCTCTTCAAATTTCTGATCAAACGTATGTGAAGGGTGGAGACCGAGAAGGGCGGATGCGACGCCGAATTTGAGGTCGCTATCAAGGTTCTCGAGGCGGGTGGGCATGGTGAGTTGGTGATGAGGAGAGGATATGGGATGCGCTGTGCATATGTTATATACCCATGATGTATCGCCTTGCCGTGTGCAGCTGACGGTAATCCACCATCTCCGCTATCCCATGACCAAGTCAGCTGCAAACTGTAGAACGGGAAAACGAAAGTGATGATGAGAGTATGACAGCTTGCGGCAGGCCCCGGTCTCTCACGGTGTCACACGTCCAGGCCGGCGGCGGCCGCGACAACCTGTTAGCCCCCAGTCCAGCCCCAGTCCGTCAACGTACGTGCTACAATCACGACTCAGACGTCAGCGTCTACGCGATCGAAGACACCTTCCATTAGAAAACGGGCAGGCAGCCATCTCCCGCTTCTTGGATACGTATGAGTGCAACATTCAGTGCAAGGCGCTTGGTTTGGGGCCGTTGCGTGCCCCTAAAATGGAGGGATAAGGGTATAGAATCAAGATCTGTTAGATATATATATATCAGCATGTACCGCAGAATACACCCCGAGCATCTTTTCCTAGCATACTGAGCGTCCATTTCTCTTCCCCACCTCACTATTGCCTCTTGTTGAAGAATCTCTTCGACAGAAGCTCGTGCTCGTTGCCGCCCGACTTTTATGGTGGAGAGGGGGTGGTGCTGGCAGCTTGATTACTCGATGGTCTTTCCCCGTTCCCGTTCACAAGTCAGACTCGAGGCTTGCTTTGATCATTATATATGCATTTCCATTTGTCGATACACTTGTACGAGTACCATCCATAAAATCCTATCCACACGTCCTGCAAACGCTCTCCGCCCTCACCGCAATATGAGGTGCAAATAATACGAACGCTCCAAGTAGCACGCCCAATCTCTGGAAGGGAAGAAAGTAAATGTATACAAAGAAACGGTTATCGCATATTCAGGCTAGACGCCTTCTCTCTCGGTTCCTCCAGATTAGGCAAAGAGGAGTTTACCGGCCACGGGTGTTGAGGGCTTTGGCTTCTCGAGCAGCCTGTCTCTCGGCAAGATCGACACCCACAAGCTAATCATCCCATCAGCCTCCCTTCTTTACCCTCGCTCGATTTCAAAAACTTACAATCTTACTAGCCTTCCAAAACTGCACTCCATTAATAATCTGCTTTCCCGCACAAATCGGGAACGTCAAGAGCGCCACCACCTGCGGCCAAGTGACATTCTTCACCGCCTGTACGAGGCCGCCGATAAGCTTTGGGTGGGCGATGGCGAGGTCGGACGTGAGGAGGGAAGTGGGGATGGGGATAGAGGAGAAGACGGGGGAGGTCCAGTAGTAGTTGAGGTAGAGGCAGACGAAGAAGAGTTCGTTGGCGAAGCAGAAGACGAACAGGGTGCGCTGTAAGGTATTAGGGTGGGAGATGGTGGGAGGAAAGGAGGAGGGACGTACAGAGTCGTTGTAGTAGTACCAGAGAATACGGGAGACATCCTGAGTCACAGTCTTGTGGCTAGAGGAGCCCGTGGCCAAGGAGCTACGCTTCGTCAGCATCGTCGGCAAATGAGTTGTGGTTTTACCTACGAGTACATGTGGATGTAGTGAGAGGAGAAGTCCAGGGTGATGAGACCCATGAAGACCAAAGAGTACGCAGGGTACACGCTCGCGAGGAAACACAGCAGACAAGCAGTAGTGCATCTACGCGCCCGTCGGGCGTCAGTCAGCGACTGCCGGGGAAAGCAGACCGAAGGGAACTCACCGGTCGGTAACCATATCAAGCACCGCGCCAAATTTGCTCGTCTGTCCGAGAGCTCTGGCGGCTTGGCCATCGACGGCGTCCAGAAGGCAGGACACAGAATAGAGGACAAAGCACGCCTTGGGGTGGTAGGGCATGAAGAAGAGGGCGGCGGCGGCTGTGATGACACGGGTGTAGCCGATCAGGTTCGGGACGAAGAGGAAGACATTCTCGTCGACACTAGAGTATATATTAGTATGGGAGAAATCACAAGACTTCTAAACTCACGTTGTGGTCCTGAATGGCGCCAAGGAAAGAAAAGGATGGTCAGCACAGCGTCTCGGCGGGCAAAATTCATGTCGTGCGGCACTCACGCCAAATCCACCGCACTGCATATCGAGTCAGCATTCTCTTCTGCACCATATTCCTGAACAAGCACTCACTACTTGGGGTCCCAAACCTCGTCCTCCCGGCTCCTGCTACCGTCCCTCGGTCTCTGCTTGACGTTGCCGGCTCCGAGGGGGCTCGGGGAGTAGGAGGTGGAGGCGGAGGCGGTGGGCTCTTCGATGGTGATCTCGGGGGCGGGGGTGGAGGGCTTGGAACGGGTCGCGGGTGCCATGGTGGAGATGAGGGATGGCAAAATATTGATTGTTGACAGAAAAGGAAGACGAAGGCCCGCCGAGCGCCGAAAGAACCTCGGCCACGCGTCTCGGAGCTTACGTAAACTGGCATCCGTGGGAATCTGAGCAAACCAGCGCTACTATCATCCTGGCTCGACGTATCGTTACATATTTCGACAATGGCGGATTTGATCTCTTCAGCACTTGAGCATCACAACACACACCCCGATCAGAGCATAAAGCCGGTGGAGAGGGAGTTCGATATCCCTTCCTCCACCCTCCACGACCGCATATCCGGCAAACACCCCTCCAACGCGGGTAGCCAGCGTGGGAAGCTCACCAAGCTCCAGGAGGCAGATCTGGTCGTGGAAATCAATGCTTATGCCGAGCGGGGTACCAACCTTTGGGTCTCACACGTCCAACAGCTCGCGGAAGCACTGGCTGGCGAAGATCTGACACAGGTCAGTGCCGCTGTCCTGCGGGGTCACCGTTACGCTTGGCAAAATCTGATTCAAGGTATAGATGTCGCTCTTGAGCGATTGCTCGAGTGTTAGCAAAGTGTCCATTCACTCAGATTGTTCATCGCTGCCGCCGTCAATCTCTGGGAGACACAGAAGGCAACGCGCCCCGATGCCTGCTCCGACCATCCTCGGTCGAAATCAGTCAACTCCATCCTACAAGCGTACGATCGCGTCGTAAACGCCCGTCGAGTTGCACGATTCGAAGACGCTGGTGACGGTTAGCTGCTATGGACTCCGGCCATCATTCTCTTATAGAAAACCAGTTCGTCATGTTGGCGGAGCAGCAGCGACGAGCAAAACAGCCCGGGACGGAGTCCAAATTTGTGATGCTCATATCTGTTACGAAAGTCATGTAAGATGACCAGGTCTGTTACCCCTTACTGCGTCCATATCATAGACGCACGACTTGCTGACCCAGATCTTCAGGCGAGCAGCTTGCGAGCGATGGGCTTCAATGCGCGGATCCTCAACGGCACCACCAAGCAATTCAACCTGAGGGCGTTCCTGAAGGGCGAGGGGGACATCTGGACAGTGACCCCCCAGCTGCTGTTAGCGCTTGAGGCTATCTGGTCGGCTTTAGCGGAGCATGTCAGTGAGGAGACTGAGAAGATTGAGCGCGTGGATGTGGGCAAGCTCTTGGCTAAGATACGTCAGCTCATTGTCAAGGTGAGTTGTTCAAGGACCCTCAAATTCGAAAGGCGCTTACCAGCGAGGAGTTTCTGAGTCGTCTTATTTGCTGCATAATGGATGAGGCGCAAACCATCGTCAACTGGGGGAAGAACTTCAGGAAGACGAATTCGCGTCTCGGGGATCTGGACAGCATGTTGGGAACCCAGCGAGCGTTGAGGAGAAGGAGTGGAAGAAGATTGAGGGTAGGACCAGGTCGGTCAGTGGTTGGGTTTTGGATGAAGGATTTTGAAGGATCTTGACGCTGACTGGAGTGTAGTTGGTGAGATTCTTTTGAAGAGGATGATTCCCTTTCCCTTCTAGCAGCTACGCCAGGGAAGATCGAGCCTGACTTTGTCCCTCAATGGTGGAAGGTAAGTCATACGTTTGTTCATGAATGTTGCTACAAGACTAATAACTGTCACAGCGCAACGAGTTCGCATTGCCCATCATATCAGGGATTGCGAGAGACTTTCTAGCTATACCGGCCTCATCTGTAACGTACGAACGTCTCGAGGGAGTAGTTAGAGGCGAGAAGGTTTTTTATCGACTTGTTGGTATGGCGCAACAGTCTTTTTCCTTCATTCCGACATTGTCTTACATAGAGCCACTATCCCTCCGACGCTGAGTTTGGCCAACTCACCGCGTCTATTGACCCTTCTTCACTCTTTTCCCTTTCACCCGACGGTCTTCTTTATTGTGGCCGTCAACTATATATCCACAATCTCTATGTAACTCTCTTCAGCCAGTACCACGGGGTTCTGCGCACCACCAAGCGCCGTCGACTCCCGAAGAACTTTGTAGGGCTCCGTTCAGGAAATGGAAGGTTGTTGAAGAGTGGTCATCGTGGAAAGATGCGCGGAAGAAAGCTCGTAGATGGTCCTCTCTGAATTCTTACTTGTCAGCCTTGGCAATGAAGAAAGTACTGTAAAGGACCTAGATAGCAAGTAAGATCAATTAACCGAAGGAGCAGCAAAAGACACTGCACTACAATTCCAGCCCTGTAATCATGATGCATATGTTGGTATTGGGACTTGTTAACTCACGCCCCGGGACCTGACCACTGGATCCTTATAAGTGCGCTGACACAGCATGTCGGCGGACCCAAGTTGTGCTTCCTTCACTGGCCTCCAATCACTACTCTCCATGTGGTCAGTCCATTACCTCTCCTTTCTACTAATTGTGACATTGAGGTGGTACACCAGGGCGTCGTGGAAGTAGCTCATCAGCCCAGCGTGAAGATGGAGATCGTCGGTGTCTAGAAAGGTTTTGAGAAAAGGCGTGACGATACGGTCATCGTATATATCGGCAAGGGTCCATTATTCGGGCGAGAAGTAAAACTTATGGTCGAGCGTTCGGAACAGAATAACCCAAAGCTTGCGAATGATGCCGCCATCTCGGGCGATGCCCATCACTGGTTGTGGGAAGGTATCGACAAGTTTCCGAGTGTACTCGGGCATTTCAGACTTTTTGCATGTCCGACCTGGATGGTTCACCGCCTGACCTATTGTGGATGCATCCTCGGACTGGTGGGGCTGGTACTGGTGACAGGGGTGATAGGAGTTCAAAACAAAAAGTGTAAGGACCGGGCGTACGGTCCTTCACTGTGTCGATGGTTGTACTAGTCGTAGAGAAGGAAACAAGGGAGTACAATCATCGACCCAGTAAAAGACCCTACGCCCGGTCCTTACACCTTTTTTCAAACTTCTACCACCCCTGTCACCAGTACCAGTCTTGGGCCCAAAGGGCGCGCTGGGGCCTCGGGCGGCAGATGAAGTACGAGGTTCGAAATCGAGGCGGGGGAGGTGGTCGTGAAGCCACATGAAGACATTTGCGGGCGGGCGTGGATGGGTGCTCATCGCGAGCAGTGTAGTGACTGGTGAGGCCGAGGAGACAAGAAAGACCGAGGAATAGTGGAATAGTTGCTGATCGAGCGCGAACAACAACAGCAGGGGGCCAGGCGCAGCAGCAGGGCGTGGGAATCTCGGCACGCGCCGTTCTACCGTTTCTACGAAAGCCCCAGGATGCATCCTGGTCATCTTCACCAAGGAAGAGTCAGAATCATTCAACATGGCCCCAACGACACACTCAAGAACACAATCCACCAGCACCCCCGCGCCCCTCCCCAGCACCCGCACAAACCCCATCTCCCTCCGCATCTACAAGGCCATCGGCACTTCCTTCGACGATGCCGACTCGCGCGAAGCACTCCAGATCGCCTCGTCCATCTATGCCCCGCAAGAGCCGAAAGGGAAATCAAGAGCGATCGATGCCGAGGCAGATGAGGGACAAGAAGAGGAGGACGGCTTACTGAAGAGACGGACGCTGAAAGGACAGAGCGCAGCAACAGCGCGCAAGTATCTGAAGCGAGATGTAGAGTCGAGCCTGGCAGCTGGGAGCTTGAAATTCCTCGAGGCTTTTGAAGAGGTTGACAAGGTTTGTCTTGCGCCTTGGAAACTGAGCCGAGCTGACATGGCGGCAGAACCTAGGGACGGTGCGCGAACAGATGCAGGAAATGCAGATCCGCTGCGACCAAGTCCAGTCCGAATTGGATCAAGCCAACAGCGGTACAAAATACCTGCTCGAACGGGCAGACGGCCTACGTGCTCAGCGGTACGTTCTTTTCATCCCATCTGCGATCGTTGGCCAAGCTGATGTTGTCTCAGTGCGTCGGCTGAATTACGAGCTCATCTCATAACTCTCTTTCTCGCCCGCTTCACGCTTTCCGAGCATGAACAAGCCGCACTCTCTTCGCGGGATATCAGTATAGGACAAACGCTATTTGACGCGCTCGACCATGTCGAAAAGATCCGAGAGGACTGTACGGTATTGCTGGGTGGAGAAGAAGGCAAAGCTCAGGCAGGGTATGTCCTCTCTCAAATCCTAGGTGCGCGCGAGAACTGACAGTATAACGTAGGATGGACATCATGACGTCTACTTCCGAACAGCTAGAAGCGGGGTATACCAAGATCCACAGATGGTGCCAGTTCGAGTTCCGCCAGTATACGAGGGAAACACATCTGGAAGTGTCGCCCATCATGCGAAAAGCGATCGTACGCCTGCGCGATCGTCCCTCATTACTCAAGTAAACCTCACTCCTTCCATTGCTGATCTGACATCCGCTAATGAGGCTGTAGTGATGCGCTCCAAACGTTGACGTCGACCCGCCACGCCTCCCTCTTACAGCAATTCCTCACAGCCCTAACCATTGGCGGCCCCGGCGGTCTTCCGCGCCCTATAGAACTGCACGCACATGACCCGCAACGATACGTCGGTGACATGCTTGCTTGGGTACATCAGACGACGGCGAGCGAGGGAGAGTTCCTAGATGGAGTGTTTGGCGTGAGTAGAGGGAAGAGGATGGTGGGGCAGGAAAGAACGCGGGGGGAGAGGGATGGTGAGGAGAAGGGGGAGGAGAAGATGGCGAGGGAGGTGTTGGATAAGAATCTTGAGGGGTTGAGTCGGCCATTGAAAGTGAGTTTATGACTATGGCCTTTGGTGTCAGAGTCTGACATTCTGCAGCTGCGAATCCAGCAGACGATCAAGTCTCAAGAGGGCACAATCATGTCGTACAAGATTGCCAACCTTGTGCAATTCTATCTCGTTACTATGCGAAAGACTATCGGCTCTGGGGCACAATTGTGCGAGACTTTACAAGAGTACGTGTCATTGTTAACGATGGCAGATGTTGGAGAAGTTGGACGATAAAGAAAAGAAGCAAGACCTGACACAGATAACAGAATCCACGACGCAGCATACACCACATTCTACGAAACCCTCGACGCCCAAGGCCGCGCCCTCCTCCGCTTCCTCCACGCCCCCGACAACACGCTCTCCCCACCGCCTTCTCTCCGCGAAGCCGCCCTCATCCTGCGCGAACTGCTCACCGTCCACTCCACCTCCCTCCTCGACCCCGCCGACCAAGCTTCCCAAGATGAAGTCGACAAGCTGCTGGATAAGGCGGTGGGGCCTTGTATTGAGATGTGTGAGCGGATGGCGGAGATGAGAAGGAGTGCGGTGGGGAAAGGAGGTGGGGGAGAGTGGGAGAGGGATGTGTTTATGGTGAATTGTTTGGGGTATTTGGAGCATACCCTGGAGCAGTTTGAGTTTACGGGCAAAATGTTGGATGGGCTGGATGAGAGGATTGGGGGACATGTGGAAGCGATGGCGTTCGAGCATGTAAGTGAACTTTGGGCTCAAAGTGAAGGGGTGCTGATCATGGGTCATGAGCAGCATGGCAAATTGCTGGATCAGTGTGGTTTGGCGCCGGTCATGCGGGCGATCCGTACAAGACCAGCAGATGTAAGTCTTCCCTGGGAGACTCGGCAATCGAGCTAACGATGATTCCAGACACCCCTCTCACGCCTCCCAGCCACATCCCCCAAACCCCTCACCTCATCCCTCTCCACATTTTCCACCTGGCTCTCCACCATCTCCCCCTCCCCCTCCTCCTCCCCCCGTCTCTCCCTCCTCTCTTCGCCCCGCCTCGCAGAGGAGATTCACAGGAAAGCCTTGCGCAAGATATATGAAGCGTATGGCGAGGTTTGTGATCGGGTGTTGGATAAGGGGGAAGGGTATGAGTTTGGGGAGACGATGTTGAGGAGGGGGAGGGAGGAGGTGGGTGTTGCGTTGGGTGTTGGGGAGGAGTGGGATAGTCAGGATGAAGAGGGAGAGGGGGTGAGTGGAGAAGGAGAGAAGGGCAACTAGATGGTGATGTGCATGGTATGACATCCTGTCAGAAATGATATCCAGGTGTACATCCTCAACTATTCAATCTTATCATTTCCGAATCTGTATCCTGCACCCACTGACCCATCTCTGACAACTCCTGTCCCCAGGTATAATCATCTCTTCTGGATGACGATGATACGCCCCACGCATCTGCAAGGTCGGCATGACCCAACTTTCGGGTTCCCAAAACCAGCGGCCATCGTAATGTGGATCCTGCGCTGAAAGGCAAGCTCGACCCGTCTACGCCAGTGGTTAGATATGAGGGGTGGGATCCGTTCGTGTGCCATATGGGGTTGATAGTCGGCGACATCCAGAGATATTCTGGTTCTGATGTTTCTTCGGGCTCTTGCTGGTCCTGTTCCGACAGGACATTGTTGGTTTCCGAGTTGTTGGGAAGTTCCCGGGCCTCCCGGGGCTCTATCATCTCATGATGGCCAGCTTGCAGAGTCTGTCTCTGCGTGCGCCTCCCACCGCGTTTCCTCAACTCGGGGTATCGACAAGATGCACCGGTCCCTGATGATTTACACGATTGGCATGATGGACAACTACCGTCAAGGGTTAGTCATCATGTCCTCGTCTTCCTGTCCTTGAACCAAGTTGAAACTGTCTTACTCGTCATCATCTCGAGGTGGGACACATCTTCTCCTCTTTGAGCGGCATGGGATACATGCCATACCTTCGGCGTGCTTGGTGTTCTGGGTAGAAGCTCTTTGCGGCTGGCTTGATAGTTTTGACGAGGGCAATGAAGAAGCGGAAGTGGTGGCGGCGCTTATGTCTTGGAAAGACGACATGATGAAAAGTCGTTCTGTTAGTGGGCATAGTGGATGCTTGTCATGCAAATCTATATACCGAATAGCCGCGCTTCTGAGATGTAGATGGATTAAAGGAACATATGTACGCGCACGAAGACCTTTTTGGGGTAGCGCTAGCATTGTCCGACAATGGATCATATTCAGAGACGCCCCGAAGTTGGTAGGTGGGTGTTGTCGGAATGAAGAACAGCATCTCCATTCTACTGAGGTCTTGGACGATTACAACGTCAAAGGACGCTATCGTCAGACGAATTGAAGGAAAGTCGGCGAATCATGACCGGCGAGATGGCCCAGGAAAGCATCCTGTCAGAGTGAGATCATCATACATCTAAAATTCGTACAGATCCGGCCTATCATGTCTCAACGCGACCTTCGGTGCCTGATGACTATGATCATGCCCCACATGCGAGTGAGGGCCATGACCATGCTGATGCCCGTGACCAGCCCCAGCCCCATCACCAGCTTTCCCAACCGTGATAACCTCCTCTTCACCTCCGAATCTGACCCTCGCGCGCGGCTTGGACGCTTTCTTGGGCTTGTCCTGATCCGCGCCCTTCGGTCTTTCGTCGATCGGTACAGCCTCTGATACTGGCTCAGGCGCAGGTGCAGGAGCAGGTGCAGGAGCAGGTGCCGCAGGCTCCACGCCACCAACGAGCCCTGTTGTATGACTCGTCCTCGCATCGGCACCTTCCAAAGCATCACCCACATCACCTCCCGTCCGTCTCTCTCCCACACCCCCCTCAACACCCAGATGCACCGTCTCCACCACAAACCTCTTTCTCTTCAGCCTGAAGCCGAGATTATTCTCGCCCGCACCGCCGCCGCCGCCGGAGGATGATGATGAAGCGGATTGGGAGACGCCGAGGAGGGTACTGTGTTTGAGGGTAGAGGGGAGTAGGGTGTGGGAGGTTGGGTAGGAGTGGAGGGTTAGGAGACCGTGGGTTGGGAAGAGGGGTGGGAGGGTTGGGTCGTCTGCTTTCATGTAAGTAGCCAGATTGGGAGTGGAAGGGAGGACGTACCGGCAAAGCCCTTCAGCTCGACACAGGCGTCAACACCCCAAGACAAGCTTTTCACGAGACCTTCTCTTGCCTCGCCTAGCGCCATGAGGAAGCTTGCGGGCAGAGTCACAAGAGCGGAAGCGGGTTTCATTTTGAGCAGCTCCTTGAGCGAGTGGATGAATCGGTGAATCTCCTGCGCTGACCGTCAGACATGCACACATGACTCGGGGACAGCTTACGGGTATAGAGATATCTCCCCAGTCGAGACTGCCAAGTTCGTGGATGGTGATCCTAGTAGCTCTGCCTTTTTGCGCAGACTCGAGCTGCTCCCAGACACCTTTCAGAGCATTGTCCAGAAGAGCCGACCTGTCGCTTTGGCCCGAAGATGTCGTAGGAACGTCAAGCACGTCCACGGGGACATAGCTGAGCTGTTTGGACTTTTTCATTGCTTCGAGAGCTTGAGGTGGGACCTGAGTCATTAGAGACAGGTTTGAGCCATTCCCTTAACAAAATCAGCTGCGATTCGAACACAGAGAGAGAGTGATACCTTTAACGGTAGTCTGAAACTTTGCCATATTCTCATATCTCCAAGCAATCTTCTTGTCCCCTCCCTCCACACCGCCCTCCCCCTCACTCTCACTTCCATCCCCATCCACCCCGCCTTCCACCCACATACAGCCTTGGACTACACTCTCAGCCACTTGTTTCTCCCCGACCACTACGGCACTCTGGCCGGAAGTCAGACCCTGAGCGATCCAGTATCTCTCTACAAGTCGTCCCCATGCAGACTGAGTGTCGGGTGCGAGGACGAGGAAGATAGAGTGGAGAGGAAGGCCGCCGCCGAGGAGATCGTCGAGGGATGGGAGGCCTGTTGGAAGGAGGGGCAGAGAGTGAATGGGGGATGGGGTGGTACCGGGAGGGGGTGGGTTTGCTTGGGGTATCCTTCGGGTGAAAGAGGGCATGGCGATGGTTTTTAAGAGTCAGTCCGCGCGATAGTGATGGTTTACCAAAAGTCTGAATACTCTAGTCGTCAAGTGTGTGCCGAAAAGTGGAGGTGAACGCTGGGTGAACGGCGCCAAAGGCGGTCACGTCCGCTGGCTTGGATCTTGGTGGCCAGTTGGTGGCTCTTTCTGGCTCGCTTTCTGCCGTGTTCTCTCGTCTTCACGCTATACATATAAAGACTTCTAGGCCTATTTCCTCGCCATCCCGCCCTATATCATTCAAACAACAAAGCCACCCCCGCTCCTCTCCTACCATGGCCGCTCCCACTTCCACTCCGATTGCTGCCCAGTCCCGCGCCCGCTCTGCCCCTTCTCTCGTTCGAACGTCGTCCCCCCTTTCCTTACGGGCCTCCAATGAGTCTGCGACAGCTCCCTCTGAGGCGAGCCGTTCCACTCTGCACATGCCCACGCCCAGGCAGCCGACCTTCGGCGACTCGCTCCCCGACCCTGCCTTTGTCAGATCTCTACCTGAGGCAGAAGCCCATGTGGCATTGGTACGAACAGAGCTTGGCAAATTCCCATCATCGGTGGCGATGGGAACCTAGATGTTGGTTCTACGGGCGGCCGATTATAATGACCACCGCACCTTCTTGAAGGCCGGAAGCGAGTCGCGAAAGGTCGGCTGCCTGGGCGTGGGCATGTGGAGAGTAGTACGGCTTGCCTCAGAGGGAGCTGTCGCAGACCCATTGGAGGCCTCAATCTTTGGGAGATGGTATTAGCAGGCCGTACGAGACTGTGAGCTAGCATATGATGAGGCCGATCAGTATAGTGGTTCACGTCCAGCAGCTAGGAACTACTCCTTTGCCAGACAGCCTGGCATTCCGATTGAGACAAGCAGATTTGGGGTCCGATGACGAAGAGCCGGTTGAGAAGCCTTACCCAGCCCTTTCCGAGAAGATCAAGAAGAGGCAGGCGCAGAATAGAAAGCTGGAGAAAGATAGCATAGGGAAGAGGAAGAAGTAGCAAAGAGATGAATCAAGATTGTTTATGGAAACGACCTTCCTGCTCACGCGATGACGAGTTGACCCATCATCACGGCTCATTGAGCGGTACATTGCAGGCTGAAACAGCGCAAATGACAGAATGACAGTCTATGCTTTGTGGCTCTGTCATATGCGTAGCTAGAGTGTATCGACTCGAGCTGCCGGGATTTCCGTCAGCAATCCGTCAGGCTAGGAGGTACTTTAGGTCGTCGCCCGCTTTTCTCGTTTCAGCGTTACGTAATCCTTGAACGCGTCCAACGCGTCGCGTTTTTCGACCAGTGATGTTTTCGACATTGTTTACCAACTCCCACCTCATCTTGAACGCGATTCGCAATGAGCGGTGAAGAACCCGATTTTGAGCCCACCGGCATCTTTGACTTTGACCTCGAACTGCCAGCCAAGGCGCCTGAACCTGAACCCGCAAACGCCATCAACGCAGACACCGCCGCGCCTCTGCACGAGCAAGATACCAATGGCGCCTCCAGACCAAGGCCTGAGCGACGCCCGACTCCTCCACGGATGCCTACGCCGCCTCCCGACTTTTTTGAAGAAGAAGAGAATTGGGAAGATCAGTTGGCCCAGGCGGAGCTCGAGTTTGATCTTGCTGGATTAGAGTCGCCGCGTCGAGCGAATGCGAGTGGGGGTGGGGGTGGGGGTGGTGGGGAGGAGACTGGGGCTGGGGAGGAAGATGAGTTTATCGATGCTGGCATGTTTGACGATTTCGACGGACCTGTCGCGTCTTGTAAGTCATACTTCAAGATCCCATATCAGAGCACTGACATTCCGCCAGCTTCTCGAGTCACCCTCACACCCCCACCTCCCGTCTCGCACGCAAGCACCTCCCGCGCGAATGCTGTACCACCACTTCCTGCTGCGAGAGAAAGAGAGCCTGTCAGCAGCTTGGTCGAACCCAGTATACCTTGTCCCCTACCTTCCTTGCCCGCGGCTACAGCCGGTGGGAGGACGGTGTTTTTCAAGAGACGGTGGCGTCCTGAAGCTGCTTCCGCCCAGGTAAGCAGCCAAGCTCCCCTTTGAGAAGGAGATGATGTTGACAGTGGTATAGTTGCTGCAGTTGAGAGGCGGCAAGGCTGATGCCGGTGAACTACTGACCGTGCCCCTGCACAAGCTTTTACAAGAAGTGGACGAGCTCAAGTCGCGCGAGAAGGCCTTAAAGTACGACGTCTTTTATATTTTGTCTGATCATCGCTGACACACATGCAGGCTTCAGGAGAAATACGACAAGGAGCGCGAGGGCTCAAGGAAGGTCAAGACAGGCGATTCCATGTGGGTAGACAAGTACCGACCCAAAAAGTTTACCGACCTGCTCGGCGAAGATGTGAGTACCTTTCAACCACCAAGCTAGCAACAAAATAATGACATGATCCCAGCGAGTCCACCGGGAGGTCATGTCCTGGCTCAAAGAATGGGACAAATGCGTCTTCAAAAAGGTCCCCCAAGCCGGCAAGAAACGCCGCTTCGACGACTCTTCTGAACACAAACCCGAATACATCGACGCCCTCGGCCGTCCCCGCGAGCGTGTCTTGCTCCTCTCTGGTCCTCCTGGGTACGGCAAAACCACCCTCGCCTCCATCGTCGCCCAACACGCAGGCTACAAGATCCTAGAGATCAACGCTTCCGACGAAAGGTCTTACCAGACAGTGCATACGCGGATTCGGAATGCGATCGAGGTGGGCACGGGGCTGGGGAGTGGGGGCAAGCCGACGTGTGTTGTTGTTGATGAGGTGGATGGGGCTGGGGGGGCGGAGAGTGGGTTTGTCAAGGCGTTGGTCAAGTTGATACAGGATGTGCCTGCTAGGAAGAAGAGTGGGTAGCTTTCTGTTTGGCTTTGGAGGGAGAGCTGACGTCAAGTAGCGAATACCCCGGCCAAGCCTCTTCGACGACCCATCATACTTATCTGTAACGACCTCTACGCCCCAGCCCTTAGACCACTCCGCCCATACGCCCGTATCATCCGCTTCAAAAAACCCCAGGCCCAGTCTTTGGTAGTGCGCCTGAAAGAGATTTGCAGCAAAGAAGGCCTTCAGTCGGACAGCCGATCGCTCAATAGCTTGGTCGATATCACGAGCGGGGATGTCAGGAGCTGCCTGAACACCCTTCAAGTAAGTCCCCCAAGAACGACTGTTGACAGACCAGGGCTGACCCCTTGGGCCCAGTTCATCAAATCACGCTCCAACGCCGTCACAGAAGAGATCGTCCGCGCCACCTCCCTCGGGCTAAAAGATACCAGCACCACCCTCCAATCCGCCTGGTCCGCCCTCTTCATCCCCCTCCCCGCCAGAAAACGCCGCGCTCAAGCAAAAGGCATCGACTCTGACCGTTACCTCCCCCGCCTCATCCCCATCCTCCAATCCTGCGGCGAATACGATAAAGTCACCCAAGGCGTATTCGAGCATTACCCGCATCTGAAGCCGCTGGATGGGACGTTGGGGAATGTGGGACGGGTGCTGGATTGGGTGGCGTTTACGGATCGGTTGCAGGGGCGGATAGGGGCGGAGCAGGCGTGGGATTTGGTGGGGTATGTACCGTGGAGTTTGGGGGCTTGGTTTCCGCATATGGCTGCGCAGGCCAATAGCGCCAAGCCTGCAGAATATCCCAAGGCAGATTATGAGGTACGCCATCTCTTCCATCCTTGCCATCCACGATCAACGCTAAACACAATCTTTAGGCATACCAAAACCGCACAGCAAACGAACTCGTAACAACCCAATTCACAGCCCTCCTCCCACCTATCTACCGTACCCTCTTCTCAACAACGACAACGTCCACCGAGCTCATCCCTTTCCTCATGCGCATCCTCTCGCCGCCGTTGAAGCCTGTGAATGCGAATATCGTCAAGCCGGGGGAGAAGGCGTTGTTGGATAGGTTGGTGGAGCTGATGTTGCCGATGGGGTTGAGGTTTTTCGCGGACAAGGCGGAGAATGGGCAGCCGATTATGAGGCTTGAGCCGTAAGTACCTTTCTTGCTGATAGTCAGAAACTTGACTGATGGTTCTTCAAAGACCTATTGATGTGTTTGTTCATTATGAAGGGAAGAGGGCAGAAGATATCCTCGCTTCGAGGTACACTGTCCGACAACTTGTCTCCCAAGCTGTGAGTGAACAAGCTAGTCTTCCGCTCTAGGTACAGTATATTGACAGTATACACCAGATGGACGCCGAGATTGCCCGTCGAAGAGGAGGCGCTACAGACGGAACCAACGGTCTCGGAACCACCTCTGGCGGCTTTGCTCAAGCGTACGGACTCAAGGGTACTGAAACGGTCAACAAACCTGTCGACAAGGCTCTTTTGCCAGTTTTGGACTTTTTCGGGAGGACGGTGGCTATCATCGAAGATGAGAGTAAGTCTTGCCTCTATAGTGACAGTGCATTGGCTGATGAACATGGGTAGCATTAGGAGAGAATGACGATCCAGCGCAGGTCCGACAACCACCGAACAAAAAGTTTAAGCCTATCTATAAGTTTAATGAAGGATCTTTGAGTGCTGTGAGGAGGAGCGTGAAGATGTCGGCTTTGATGTAGTTGGGGAATGTCTATTGAAAGTATCGCCTGTTGTGTAGATTGTATGCATTATAATTGGCAGCTGGAGTATGCGTGCAGGGAGTCATAGGTGTGGATGTTCAGTATAAGATTGGCACATTGGAATTGGCGGATGATAGGCTGTAGTATTTAGACTATGTATAGACAGATACTCAAAGGTGATCCTCGGGGCGCAGTCTTCCCTTTGTGGAAAGGCGACCCTGAATGTGGAAGAATGGCATCCAGATGAGCATTCATGCGTGCTGTCACATGTATACATATATCGAGTATCGAGCCGGCCTCTGATCAAAGAAAACAAAAACAATAAACAATAAGAAGGCTCGAACCAAACATTGCGGCGATAACGCGCCACAGCGGGATTATCGACGCGTCAGGAATCCACAGGCACGATTGAGTGTTCATGGTTGTTTGCGCACTGTCCTCTTCTCTCCCAGCACCGTCAGCTTTTCCTTTCTTTTCTCAACGACGCCACCGCGCACCCACACTCTTTTCCATCCCTATATCAGCCCCCGGATCCCTTCTCGCCATGCTCGCCCTCCTCGCCCTCTTCCACCTCCTCCCCATCCTCGCCCTCGCAGCACACAACCCCCCGCACCACCGCAGGGCCCACGAACGCGCCAGGAAGAACTACGAACACGTACACGGCCGAGACGCTGCCCACAACGCCCCCGCCGCCATCCTCGAACGAGACACCCACTTCGACAACCGGACTCTCGTTGAGCGAGACCACTACGACAACCGTACTTTGACCCCCCGAGCCGATACCTTTACCGGGGTCGGTACCTTCTACTCTACGGGCCTTGGTGCTTGTGGAGAGACTAACGTGGATAGTGACTATCTGGTCGCGTTGAACTCGGCGCAATATGGCAGTGGATGTGAGTCAATTTCGAGTCGCGGCGGCAGGCGAGGCGAGGCGAGGCGTGTGCGGTAGCCGAAGGACGTGTGTCCTGGCGAAAGGGTATGCCTGGCGCGATAGACGGGGTTAATTTAACCGCTTGAGCACTGGCATTACTTTGCGATGGATGGATGAGACGGAGAGCGCGTGGCGGGCGTTGGGGTCGAGAGACGCGTGACAGTCAATTTTGCCATGATACGTCGTCGACGAGGGTACATGGCAAATCATCCATATACTGACATCCTACAGCCCCCGGTCCCCAGTGCTTCAAGTCCATCACCATCACTGACGGCTCGACGTCGGTCAGTGGTATCTCCATCTTGGGTGCGTGCACAATCTCCTCCCTATACGCGTCGCTCACTCCTTTTCTAGATGAATGCCCCACTTGTGACTATGGATCTCTCGATTTGAGTCCCAGTCTTTTCGTCAGGTTCGCAGATGAGGACACTGGTACCATCCACATCACTTGGTGGTACGAAGACTCGGTGAGTAGAGCGTGCAAAGTCATCTGGACGCCGCTGATTTTTTCAGGAATCGACCTCTGCTGCGGCCACTTCTACGAGCCCCACTTCGACCTATGTCGCGCCTACGTCGACCTACACCCCTCCCACCTCTACCTACACTCCCCCCACTTCGACCTACGTCGCCCCCACTTCTACCTACACCCCCCCTACCTCGACATACACTCCTCCCACTTCGACTTACACTCCCCCGTCGTCCACCTGGGTCGCCCCCTCGTCGTCAAGCTCCGCCTCTCCCTCCGTCGAGCCTTCCACCTCTTCATCCACTTCCATCTGGGTCGCTCCCTCGTCCTTCTCCGAGAGCAGCTCCGCCCCCAGCAGCACCATCACCTCCTCCCCCATCTCTTCCGCCGCCATCTCTACCTCCGCTTCGGCCTCCAACTCTACCAACCCCTGGGCGGTCGTCAGCAGCGCCTCTGATGTCTCTGTCCAGGCTTCTGCCAGTGTGGGCGTCAGCGTGAGCACGGATGGGAGCGATTCGAGCGTGTCGGTGTCTGCTTCGGGCAACTTGGAGTTGATCAACGCTTTGACTGCCAATTATGGCCAGCTCGTCGTCAATGCCGCTCAGGTGGCTGCTTGAGCAGACTCCCCATCTACAGACCTTAGCTATGCTCCCTTAAGGGACGGACACTTGCTTTCTTTCTGACGGACACTTTACGAGTTTATCCCATAGTTATCTTTCTTTCCCAGCCTCTTTGCTGCCCTTCCTTTTTCGCTCTTTCCAACTGTTTATGGGGATGTGTGTAGTAAGCCGCTTCCATATATTCATCAGACCGAAAAGCTTGAAGCTTTCTCGTCTGAAATCAATTACCTACGATCTTTCTCTCTCTTTTGTCGAAACGTTCCCTCTAGATTGTATATACCCCCACGACCCCTGTTTTTCCTCTCGTCTCGTTTTGCTTTTTTTGCCAAGTTTTCTTCTGTGTATGGATGCAGAGAGTATGCTTTTTTCGTGTCTTTGCTTGCTTGCGTAGGCTGACTGGCAATGGTCACCGGCTTTGAGAACCGCCGTGCTGGAACCTCGGATCTTCGCTGTTGTTTGTGCCTATGGGACTAACTGTGCCATACTTGTACATCATGGGAGGAACACCCGAACAATGAGAATCCAGCACTCAAAATCGACATGCTGTATGCTTGTATGGAACAACGATCTAAGTTACGGCGCTAGACGCGCTAGAACGGACTAGACGTGTTGGTTGATGACAAGGTTATCTTTGTATCTTTGTATGGATTGATGGTCAATGCGTTCGGCTTGGAAGGTGGAATCTGAGTATAGCAAGAGCTGCAAGAGCTGCAACGCTGCAGCAGAAAGTTGCTGGGTCAGTGTTGAGCCACTCCCGCCGGGAAACGTGGAGAATCGCGTTAGAAGAGTAAATCCATGGCTCGGCTTCGCTTGCCGCTCTCTCTTCTCTCTTCCTTTTCAACTCACCCGACGGCTCACAAAGTCTCATCACTCATGCCAGAACCAATCATCCACCCCTCATCCCTCCCTTCCCCCCGATAAACTTGCAAATATTGCTTGACTGCCCTCGCCCGCATGACAACTTCCTCCCTGCCCCCTTGGTCATGCCATCAATCGCAGCCAAGAATTATCCTCTGTTGCTCGTCCCTTTCGGTCTCTCAAAAGAGAGACTGTTTATCAAGATGAACGACTCGTCATCAAACCCTACACTTATTAGGGAGAAAGAGGAAAAGTTGGGACAAATTTGGGTCGATAGCTACAAGTTGGGACACACAACGAATCTGATGTGATCGGAATTCATTTCAAAGTCCCAGGGGCCTTGCTTAGGGTTTACCAGCTTGTTGATTGCACTAAGTCCATATCGGCCATACACGTTTACGAACTCACCCCAGATGGGACCATGCGAGTGAACCCAAGGTCTTGAAGCGTATTAGAGTCTGCAATGACTGTTCGTCGGGATGGCCACGTATTGAAAGTAAACAGGCGGGGAGACCGCTTTCTTACCAGAAGAGAAGCAAAAGAGAAGGTGGGGAAATCTTTCAGAAGGAAGCGATGCAGTGGTTGAAGTGGATGTGGTATATGCATGCCGAAGGTAGATTCCTTCAAAATGCCTGGGTATACAGGATGCTTAGGCTAGCGCTACGCATGTACATCATCAGACAGCTCAAGCTGCTTACGTTGATAGATAGATCGAGATTTCAGTAATCGTATCCGTTTCGTCTCTGGAACACATACTTCTTTGCAGCCTCCAGCTCGTCCTCATCCACCCAATCCCTTCCTCCCACGGCACCCACATTCGCGCTCTCCTTTCCCCTCCAAGCAGAAGTCCAATCGTCCTCATCACCTTCCTCTTCCTCTTCGCCGGTAGTGTCGTAGCGTCGGTACTGACTTTGAAAGGGATCATATCTGGACTGTCCTGCTCGTTGGTCCGCAGGGGAGTAATCACGCTCCGGCTCCCGTCTTCCCAAGGTCGTAGACGACCCAGTCTTCCTGGGAGGCAAAGTCAACCTCCCCTTGGCTGCTGCACCATGATACGAATCATTCCGCTCCGCCGACGAGGCAAACTTGCTTCCTCTAAGAGTCCTGACAGTATACGCCGGTCTCTCCGGGCGATGGGCGTCGTCTTCTTTGGAAGAAGGGGTGAACAGGGTGAGTTTGGAGTATTTCCTCGGAGGGCTGTTGATCGGCGGCTCGGGAGAAGGTGACGAGGGGGCGGTCCGTTTGGGTGTAGGGAAGAGAGAGGCGGGCATCCGGAAACGGCCTACTACGACAGGCTGTCGAGCATTCTTGTCGGGTGAAACGAAGGAAGAGTGGCGGCGTCGTTTGGCAGGCAAAGTGGACCATTCAGGGGTGGAAGAGCGGACAGGAGGTGGGCTGTTCCTGTCTTGATTGAGAGTCGACTTTGACGCAACGGGGATGGGCGGTTGGAAACGTCTGGCAACGGGACGAGCGATGTTTGGCGGTAAAGCGGATTGATAGGCTGGGGGTATGTGGAAGCCTTGCCTGTCCTCAACTTCTGGTGTTGAGATGTAAGAGGTAGTGACTCACCTTCAGCGGCTCTCTCCAGTCTTAACACGTCCGCAGATCTGTGATCATCCTCTTCCTCTTTCACGTCAACATCATCCTCTTCGAAAACCTCCTTACGTCCTCCTGCAGCACTTGCACGCGCCATAGCCCTGACGTGCGCCCCCGAATTGCCAGCTCTACCCCGTCCAGTAAGAGGAGAGCTGTAAGCTAGCTTGCTGACCCCAGAAGTCATCGTCTCGCCACCCCGGCTGAGCGACGATGGGACCTGAGTGATGGTCGAAAGATGAGGCCCGCTACTCAAGTGAAAGTCGATGTAACCATTCTGAGGGGAGACATGATCGACGAAAGGCTTCTTGAAAGGTGGTTTGAAAGTGCTTCGTGAGCTGGGAGTAAAGCGATGTGTTGTCTTGGCGAAAGGAAGATCATGATGTCGCTGGGCGCTTCTGCTATCAGAGCCGACCAATGTCGGAGTCGTCCTGATGGACTCGGACCGCTCTGCTTTTCGAGCCAAGGTGGGGGTTGACGCAATTTCTATAGCGTCTTCAACAGTAGTGCCTCCTCTGGCCCCCTTCGGGCCGTATACCAGGTCATCAATTTCGGTAGCATCAACAAGGTTCTCAGGCTCGGGTGAGCGGGTGACTTCGCCCTCGTTGAACCGACCGCTCATTGTCGCGAGGGATCTGGCCCTGATGGGGAGAGACTTTTGCTTCTGAAGAGCTTTGACAATAGGATAGCTCTCGTTGGTGGCAGCTCCCTTGGCTGCAGAGATATCAGTGTCAAACATGATGCAGCAGCAACGGACGGACGAAGCATGGAAAACTGTATCTTATCATTTCTCTCCTTCTCCCTCTTCTTCGCCTCCATAGTCCTCTTCCTCTTTTCCCTCGCAGCCTCCCGCTTGTTCACCTTCTTCTCTTCTTCCTTCTCCTTCTCCTTCAATACCTCCAAAATCGAGGGTCTTGCCGGCGGATCCTCTGGTAGCGCGTTCCCGTCCTTGTCAACCCAAGCAGCCGAGGGGCCGGGTTTCTTGCGGTTCCTGGGTTTGGGAGGGGTATCGTGGAGAGCGGGTTGGACGAAATCCTTCTTGGCTGGTTTGGGGCCAGGTTTCCTGGGTTGGGACTGGAAGGGTAGAGTTTGGTTGTTCAGTACAGGTCGGGAGTTTGATGATTTGGTAGTAGATGTCTTCGACGGGGACGATGTTACGCCGTTCCTCCTATCCTCAGCCGTGACCACTGAAACGCGCGTTAGCCATCGAGCGTATCAAGATACCACCCGCATGGAGCAACGGGGGCCCGAGCACTCACAATTAGATATCTTCCTCCCGCCCTTCCTGGCCGACTTTTGCTTCGCAATAGTAAAAGGCGTAGACTTGAGCTCGGCATGATCTTGCCGCAAGCTGAGGTCCAGATCATAAGCGAGGTCGGCATGAGTACTGGCGGCAATTTGGGAGGGGAGGCAGTCCTCGGGGTCGGTGTCGGGGGATGGAGAGCGGAATGAGGACTTCCAGGCAGCGTTGGGCATAGCGTGGGCAAGCAGGGCAAAGGGGATGTAGGTGATTGGGTGTTATGGCATTAGCGGGGGTTTGAGGAGATGTAAAGGATGGAGGGGCAGATGAGAAAGTGGTTGACGGTGTGGACGCGTCCTCAACGCGACGCGTCGGGTGTCCGTGCACTTTCTTCCAAGAGAGTACTGCCTCCGTTGCGCCTGCGTTGTTGGGCATCGTCGATAAGATCTATGCAGAAGACGGTCGCGTTGGTTACCCCTCTGCTACCGTATTATAAGCTCCCAAGATTCCACCTCCATCCCCGCATTCTCTTCGAAAAACTGTTCCGCCTCTTCCAGCGTCTCGAACCAGAGCGCTCGTATCCGCTCATCTATTCCTTCTTCCCAAACTTTCTCATGAAAACTGATACCCCATCAGCTTGGAACTTGTGGCGATTGGGGGAGGTATGAAGGGCGACGAAGTGACGTACGCGTGAATGCCGTCTTCCACGTGCTCGTATGTGGGTTGAATCCTTTGGTACTGTCCGTCTAGTCTGCCCCATGGGCGTCGGCCAGAGTGGACAAAGTATTTGTTGAGTAGCGCCTAATAGGACCATCGGTATGACAGTACTGGAAAAATCGAATGGTATACGTACCTGCTCTCTCCACTGGGGATTGAACTCTCTCGTGCCCAGCATGTCCGCGAACAGATCCTCATTCGGCCTCACCATCATGAACCCTGCCGAGAAATAACCATACTCTGGCATATACCCCCGATTCCCAGCTCCCAGCGCTGCAACCCCATTCTCAGCTCGACTCGTCGGGTCATCCCAAATCCCTTCAAGCGATTTCAAGACGATATGATCCGCATCGAGAAAGAGTATCCTCGAGAACTGCGTCATGTTCCACATTGCCAGCTTTGTGTACATATCTTTATACCTCCGTTCTGTCGGTCTTTCGGGTAGACCTTGGACCAGTGGGGTATGGACGATGGACGCGCCGAGCGAGTAGAGTTTCTCAATCCATTCTGGCGGTGTCAGTTCTGTGACGTGCACAAAGAACGGTCTTGCCTGGTCCCGAGTGGTTGGAGAGTAGCGAAGAGAGTATAGGAGGACACAGGTGGATGTAAAGTACTCTGGGATATCTCCAGAGGAGAGAAAGGTCATGTAGACCTCTTGTGGGGGCAGGTCGAGAGGATAGGGGCGGCGGGGAGGATAAGACGGACGGACGTCATCTTGAGCAAGAGGGCGAATGAGGTCGTGGTGCGGGAGGAAGATGAGGTAGAGAGTGATGGCTGCTACAATAGCAAAAAGAAGGCGCAAGGTCGATCCACGGCGGCGAAGTTTGAGATCAGTGAGGCGAAAAGCCATCGTCGGACTATGTCCGCGTTCGAGCAGTCGGATCGCGTCGGAGGTCGTTTCCTCTGTAGCCAGCCGGGATTGACACGGTTTCGAGGATGGGCTGTATATATGGAGATAAAAGATGAAGAACACGACCCGGGGCCCAATATCATTGTTTATGTTTCAGGACGCTTGCTGCGGGAAGACTGCGATAGCGCGTTCGGCATCCGGCGAAACTCAGTGAGTGCCAAAGTGCAACTTTTTCGCCAGAGCAATATGATGATCGTACTCTGTGGTTACATAGATGACCAAGGGGCTGAGGAATGGCTGAGATATAGATCAGACAGAGCATAGCAATCATCCTTATTCCTGAAGCATTCGCTCAGTGGCAGTCGTCCTCAAGATTGATCCCGAGTCCCAGGGGGCTTGAATCTCGACGTTACATAAACACGCCACTCTCCTCTCGCCTGCGGCTGCTGCCTCTCGCATTCAGCAACAGCAGTTCACAACCCACATTCCACACAACCCATCCCTAACAATCACCATGCCCCCAAGAAAATCAAAAGCCCGCGACGTCAAGTCCACCGCCCCCTCCCCCTCGCCCAGCGTCGCCGCAACAGCCACCCGGGGCAGCTCGCGCTTGTCAAAGTCAATGTCTTCGAATGTCGGACAGAGTACGGATGTGGAGACTGTAACTGAGGAAGTGCAGGAAGAGAGTGTAGAGGAGAAGGCGTCCACGGATGCGGGGGTAGAGGAGTCTGTGGAGGGGGAGGAGAGTGCAGCTCCGGAAGACGAGGGCGAAGCGGTGAAGACGGGGAAGGTTTCTATGGCTGAGAGAATGGCAAAGATGAAGGAGCTTCGTATGAAGATGGTATGTTTTGTGCTCCTTGATACCTTCCGATTGATCTCTCACTATCATGCAGAGCCAAACATCCCAAGAGAATCGCCGCGACCTCGTAGCCGACCACCAAAAGAACAAGACCACCGCCAAAGATCTCGCCCGACTCGAAAAACAACGCAAGCTCGCCCAGACTCTGCGTCTGAAGGCCGATGCCGAGGAGGCTGGGGAAGATGTGGAGAGGAAGAAGAACTGGGAGTATAGTATAGAAGATGATGAGAGATGGGCAAAGAAGGAAGCGGAGAAGGAGGCGAAGCAGGACCAACATTTCCACAGTACGCTCCTTTCTCGTCACACCCGCCATTCGTAAAGTGCTAACATAGGGGCCAGATGCTGAAGACGACGCTTGGAAGCGATACGAACGCAATATCCGCGGTACCAAAGCCGACCTGATGGCCTACGAACGTCAAAAGGAAGCTGCCCTCGGTCTCGCTCCCGGTACCCTTGTCCCCGTTGCTGGTGGATCTTCATCAGCAGCTGGGGGCAGCAGCGCGCTCACAAAGTCGGAGGACCTGTATAGAGGCGCAGACACGCTGGCTTATGGTGACAACAAGCCTAGCGAGGAAGCTGTCGATAGGGTCATGGCAAAGATCAACAAAGAGTACGTTCTCGGCCATCTCTTACCCTTGATGGCAGCTGACAGCTGGTGCAGTGTTGGAAAGAAGAAGCGTGGCAAGAAGGACGAGGAAGACTCTGAGGTGGACTACATCAATGACAGGAACAGGGTCTTCAACAAGAAGATCTCGAGATACTTTGACAAGTACACCAAAGAGTGCGTTTCCTCCTTCTATATTCTGAAAGGTCACTGACGGTGATGCAGCATCCGCGCAAACTTGGAGAGAGGCACTGCCTTGTAGAGTTATATATCTATCTACTGTCGTCTTTCGACATGAATGTATCATCTTGTATTCCTTTGCCTGGGCGATTTGTTCTCGAGCGCGGAGGAGCAACTTCAATGCGCGACTTTCGTGTGGGTATGCATCAAACCAAGTGCGAGACTATATTGCGAATTCAAAAACACCGTTTACGTAGAGGTTGAAAGTATAAACACGACACCAACACTAGTTCATAGCAGAAACACTCAACTCTCCTCCCAGTCCCTTCTCATTCCCCTTCCACTCTAGTGCCCCTGCCTACCGCCGTTACCCATGTAGTACCCCTGTTGCATCTGCTGCATCTGCGCCGCGTGTTGAGCTTGTGCTTGCGCCTGAGCCTGAGCCTGAGCCTGAGCCTGGGCTTGGGCGTGGTGATGGGCTTGCACCTGTTGAGGGTCTACTTTTTCTGTCAGCCAAGTGAAACTACAAACAAGAGCAAGTCTACGCACCATAGTACCCCTGCATAGCAGCCTGTTCAGCCATCATCCTATTGTACTGCTGCTGCTGAGCCTGCTGCTGTTGCGCCTGCTGCACCTGCTGAGCCTGAGCCTGAGCCTGCTGTTGTTGCGCCTGCGCCTGCGCCTGAGCAGCCTGCTGAGCCTGCACAGCCGCACTAGCCTGATTCGCCCTCGCCGCCACACTCGGCGGCAACGCCAAACTACTCGCACTCATCCCCTGCCCATTCGCCCCCACCCCCGCATTCCCGCCCGCCGCCCGCGACAACGCCGACGCACCCGCATCATACAAAGTCGGCGGCGCGATGGGGCCAGAGGTAAAGTAGGGGTGCTGCATGGCGGTGTGGGCGTCGTAGCGGCGGGAGGGCTCGAATTGGAGGAGGTGTTCGAGGAGGTTGATGGCGTCGCGCGGGGCGCGGGGGACGATGGCGTGGAAGGGTTGTTTGGGGTGTTTGGCGAGAGGTGCTTTGATCTGGATCTCGGGCTGTGGCGTTGGTCAGCTCCTGTAGCCTTCCAGTGATTCGAGAGACTTGCAGAGTTCAACTTGATCTGGGCAATCGTAGCTTCACTAGGCGTTCCCACAATCTTCATGATCTGTACCAGCTGGTCCGCGTTGTCTCGTCCTCGGAAGAGCGGGTAGCCAGTGATCATCTCCGCAAAGCTAAACATATATCAGCTTGGGCACCACGGATCACAGCAAGAGCATGATACGCACATGCAACCAACACTCCAAATATCGATACTCGTACTATACGTCCTCGACCCGAGCAACACATCCGGTGCTCTGTACCAGAGCGTCACCACCTTTCCAGAACCATCAGTCTCTACGCCCCATATTTGCTCTTGGTGAGAGAGGACGTACCTCATTACTAAAAGTGTTCACCGGCACACCAAATGCCCGCGCAAGACCGAAATCACCAATCTTGAGCTCTCCACGCCTGTTGATGAGCAAGTTCTGGGGTTTGAGGTCTCGGTGCAGGACACGATGGTCGTGGCAAAATGCTATACCCTGTTCATCTCATCAGCGCGGTTCACAGACTTCAACTGAGAATCCGCTCTCAGACAGGATGAAGACATACCTGCAGCAGTTGATGCGTAAAGCTCTTCACTGTATTCAAATCCAACGCTCCCCTATCTCCGTGAACATCCATATACTTTTTGAGATCTTGTTCGCAAAACTCGAAGATGAGGATGAGCTTGGATTCGGTGTGAACCACATCGTGGAGGCGGACGATATTGACGTGCTTGAGCTCTGGTGATGGAAGGGAAGGTACGTTGGTCGAATCGAATTGAGGGATGAATCAAGAGAAGAGAGATCAGTTAGGAATTGGTCCTCAGCAGTAGAAGAAGAAGAACAAAGGCGCACCCTTCATGAGACTGATCTCTCGAATAGCTGTACTCGGGGTACCTTCTTCCGCATCCAAATGAATCTCTTTCAGCGCCACAATCTCGGAGGTCGTTCGAGAACGTCCCTACAGAACAAACATCCATCATCAGCGTCAACTCAAGGCATGCGATCTGGCCTGTGAAAGCATGAGATCTAGACAGAGCAATGATACAGGCGGGACAGCCATAATCCACGATGGAAGGGGAGCAAGACAGATAGATGTTACGTACCTTGTAGACGGTAGCATAGGTACCTTCACCCAGCTTCTCAAGTTGGACATAGTTCCTGCAATCATAAACAATCAGCTTTCCATCCTGACATGATCACATCTGTCCGCCCAGCCTGCCCATCGAGGGAGCTCCACCTTCCTTCCGCTCTTGCTAATCCGACCGGGCGAGGCATGAATGGGGAAGACATAGGCGGGTGGGTGAGGGGGGATCAAAAGCGAAAGCTGGAGGAGGGGACGTACATGGCGAACGGATAGGCGGAGTGTGTAGGACTGTGAGGTTATTCGGGCGCGCCTGCGAAGACAGCGAGAGTCGGGAAAGAGCCTCTTGAAGCGTGTCGAAACTGGAGAGGCGAGGAGGGTCTTGCTATGCGCTCTATCCGGGGCAAAAGTGGAAGAAGATGGGAAGGGATGTTATTGACGCGACGATTCACGATGAGAAGGGACGAAAGTGGAGGAATCAGGAAAGACACGTTCCGGGAAACTCAACCTGGTGGCGGGCACCGTGTTGGATTTAGGTTTGGTGAGTACCGCAATCGATGTGTCTTGCTTGCATCCATCGGGTCGGTTCAGATGCAGATCTGTACAGCTGTATATGGTTTGAAAGTGCAGCAAGCTGGATGAATCGGATACATGCATTCACCCTGATTCCCCGCCACTTAATCTGGCACAGGTAGCCTTGTTGGGTGTGCCCGCCTTGAGAAGATGTGTACATGTCATGTCCAACGTCTTGTGTTACAATTCCCGTTGGTAAATCGTGCGCAATATGATACAACTAGACATACCGGAAAGATACAGTACAAAGATCCCCTCCACCCGCCAGTACCCTCAACTACCGATCTACTCCCGTCCCCTTCCCACCATACCCTCACCCTCTCGATACGCCTGACCATGCATCTCCCCAGGATACTCCGACGCACTCAACAAAGCCGAAATCGACTCGAAAGCCGCATTCGCATTCGCCTCAACTTCCTCTTGCGAGAAGGTCTGTTGATGTTGCTGTTGCGCTGCGAGCTGCCCCTGCCACTGTCCCTGTCCCTGCCCTTGCCCTCGTCCAGGGTCAACAGCCGGGACCGGGATATAAGATGGGAGATGGTGCCCCATATCCGTGATAACCTGCTGAGTAGAGTGATGAGGTGGGAAAGTGGGTGTTTGGGATGGAGTTGGGAGGAAATTCTGGCGGGATGGGCCTATAGCTGGATATACCTGCTCATCTCTTCCTTGACCTTGACCAACATTGCCCGCCACCCTCTGATTGCCCTGACTACTGACACTCGAGTCGTCAGAGTCATAGTCCAAAGAAGGGTCGGACCGCCTGAACCCGACGGCATTCGGATCACCAGGCAAAGGCGGCGGGAGGTCGGGATGATGGCATGGGTAGCGGAAGGGTGTGCGGCCGATAGGGTAAGGTTGTAGAGATGGAGATATTTGAGGAGTGTAGGCGGTTTGGATATTGGACTGCCTCATATGTCAGCCCAAGATATATAAGGGGATGAAGAGATGACTGACTTGAGAGGCAGAGTCTTGGGCGATAGCGGCGGAGGCGAGCTGTTCCATAGCCCTGGCACCGCTGACCAAAGGTGCAACAAGGGCCAATTGAGGTGTACTTTCGATACCCGAGTAGGAAGAACTTGCTGTCCTGTTCATCGTTGATGATACGGCTTCGCCGTTGGGTTGCCCAGGGATATTGACTGGCGCTTTGGTGCGTTGCCGCTTCTTCTAGAGCGAGTTGGTCAATAATTCTTTCTGTAAAACAAGAATGAAACATACACTTGGGCCAGCTTCATCTTCTTGAGCAACAGCAGCCCTGCTTCTCGTCACCCTGTCCCCTGCTCTCGTAGCAGCCGCCCGCTTGCCCTTGTTCACCCCTTCACTTTTCTTCGGCCTCCCCTTCCTTGCACCCGATGCGCCCTCCCCAAGTTGCAGTTCCGGTATCGTCCCATGACCAGCAAGAATTGGGTCAATTTGAGGTTCGATGACCATAACAGAACGGTAATCTGCGGCGGGCGGTGGAGATGGATGCGATGCGTGGAGGTGGGGCCCACTTTGTAAACGTTGTCTCGTAGCGGGATCAAATTCACCCTGCTGACGTGACTGAGGCATCTGAGGGAAGGGACAGGATGCATGCAGCTCAAGGACTCTAGCTGGTCAGCCTTATGGGGTATCTCTGGACTCAGAGAGAAGCGTGCAGGGAAGCGACGATGCATACCCAGAAAGGTTTCTCATTGTCACCAAGCCCCGCGCCCGCCCCTCCTCCACTCCGAAGCTGCAGACCAAAAAAGAAAAAAGCGCGCCGCATTTTGCTGTTTCTCCTTTGACCTCGCAGCCGACCCGTATCCCTCTCTCCCCTTCCCCTTCTTCCTATACTCATCATTCTTCCCCCCTCAGACCACTCAAGATGACCCGTACGTTCCGCCCCCACCTCCATCCCCAAGCCCGCGCCCCCTATGATTATCGCGCACGAACCAAATAAAAACTAACTTTCTGTATCTCGAACAGGTGGCAATCAGCGCGAAAGTGACCGAGCCAAAGCTCTCAAGAAGCTGTACGCTTCCATTCCTATTCTATCTTCATTTGTTTTGGGGGGAATGAGCTGAGGCGTGGGTTGTAGGGGCGACTCTGGAAAGAAACAGACTGGTAACCCTCAGGCTAGGCGAGAAGCGTAAGTCCACTGCACTCTTTGATGCGCAATGCGGTGTGTTACTGATGTGCCATTGTTAGAGATGCGAAGGCTGTAGCTGAGAAGTAAGTTCCCAATAGATATTCTTGAGTGCTGAGCTGACAATTCTGTAGGCAAGCTGTACGTCTCACCGCCGCCAAAGCCTCTTGACTCCCTACTGATCCTTACGCTCCCAATTCACCCCATGCCCTCCCGTCACTCTGATATCTCGCCCACATTAACGACGGCCCCGGATCCATCCAGCTCAAAGCCAAAGCCCGTGCCGAGGCGGAAGCCAGGGGTGAACTGTCCATTTTCGACGCCAAGCAGGAAAAAAGGAAACAGAACACTGGTCCTCCCGGGGGCGTCAAGAAACAGTAAGGGGGTCAGAGGGGCTTGAGTGTGAGATAGGTCTTGGAGAGATGGGGGGGTGACGCTTAGAACTTAGAGGGTAGAGGGAGTATGGATTGGGTATATTTCTGCCTCAAGTCGAACTGATCCATAATCGAGCATCTCATCTTGGTACCCATCAATCTCTACAAAGTAAAGGCCGACCATCCTGCACAACCACCCTCCCGATCGCTACCTCTTCTCGAAATCCCGGCCCATGCCACCCGGCCCCATCTCCCTTCAACCCACTATCTCGACGACAAGGCCCCGTCTTCCATTCACGATCAGACACAATTCGGCTGAAACTTGAAAACAAACGGTATATCCCCCGAAAGCATATCATCCCAAACAGACGGCTTCTCCCTGGTAATCCTGATGATCAGTGATCAAAGAGAAGGACTTGTACCACCATCGTGTCACAGCAGGGTTTGAGAAATAGGCTGCGAGTATGATCCATGCTGCAGGCAGGTTGCTGTAACGCTTGCCCGGGTTGGAGGTGGGTCTCTGGTTGAGTGGGGGTGGGGTTGGAGGTGGGTTTGAGTACAACACTCGTAGACAGGACAAAGCGCATAAGAAGTGCTTATACGCGTTAGATAGACCAGACAAGTTTCGCCGCCGAACGCTCTTGATCGCAGGTGTGTGTTCGGCAGCCACCAAGATCTCGCGTCAATTCGCTATAGTGACAGCTTCTTGACAGGGTGGAATGCAGTTGAAACAGGATGTCGACACTACACTGCAAAGAGCATCCAATTGGATACTCCATACATACACACTGACCAAAGATGCGAGATGTCTATGTCTTGACCTTCTTCTTGAGCGGTCGCGCCCCACCGCCAATCTTCTTTCTCTTCCCTGTAGACTCTACTTCGTCGTACGCTTTACTCGTGCTCGCGCCCAACAGCATACCATGACCTGTCACTCCATCAGCATCCCAGTACCAACAGACCATAACAAAAGACTCACCAGTAGACTTGATAAGATCATCCACGATGACCTTGCTACCACTTGTCGGGTACCTCGTCGAAACACCCCTCGCCACGAGCTTCTCTTTCAACAATTCCCTCAACTCCATCTTCAATCCATCCACCTTGCCATCCAGATTCGTCTTTCCCTTCGCCTTGTCCATCTTCTTCGCCTTGTGATACGGCGCATCGGGGTCATCCTCCCCATCGCTCAACATCGTAGGGTCGATATCAAGGTCCATCGCCTCCGCCGCATCCAATAGCCAGTTCTTCTCGTGCGTCCTCTTTTGCGCGCGGTGGATAGCTTTCTCAATATCGTTCGCCAGCTTCAAGCGCGCCCGAAGAGGCGGGAGGAAGCCCGCTTCGACAGGGAGCTCTGGCAGCTCGTGCGTCCTGTTGAGGGAACGGTTCAAAGCGCGCTGAGTGGGTTTCTCGTCGGCGGAGACGAGGAGGAGTGCGAACCCTTCCGTCTTGGCTCGGGCTGTACGACCGGAACGATGGATATAGGCGTCCGCCGTCCTGGGGAGGTTGAAATGGACGACATGGTCGACTTGGGGGATATCGAGACCTCGCGAAGCAACGTCGGTGGCGATCAGCACACCGTTGGCGTTGGACTTGAACCGTTCGAGGTTCTTGAGACGTTGCTTCTGTTGGAGCTGGGAGTGAAGGGGGAAGATGGGGAGTTGGAGGAGGTTGAGGAGGGGGAGAAGACGGCGGATGGCGTCGATGGAGTTGACAAAGATGAGGGAGCGGCCTGGGAAACGGAGGAGGAAGTAGTAGAGGTAGAGGTCCTGCATAGCGTCAGAAGGGTCCAAGTTCGAAGAATGTTGCTCACCTTGTCGTCCTTGGTACACTCAATCATACTCTCCCTCAGAGTCGCCACAACACCACCCTCCGGACTCAGGTCAATGATCTCCGGCGTCTCATCTCTGAAATCGAGCTTCTCCACCAAATCTTCCAAAGTCGAGCTCCTCTTCTTCTTTCCATTCTTCTTCCAGCTTCCCCTCTTCTTGAGGTTGATCTGCAAGTCTTTGCTGAGGGTGGCGGAGAAGATGAAAGTCTGCATGTCGGGCAGCGCGGAGGAGGCTTCGAAGATGGTGGAGAGGGATTGGAAGACTGGGTCGTCGTCGTCGGGCCCGGCCTCGCTAGACAATAGTCAGTCTACCGGTCAAGAAGAAATAAAGAACTAGACCTACCCGCCAGAACGCTGAGTGAGTCGGACGATAGACTCGAGCTCCTGGAAATGACCATTCTCAATCATCCTGTCCGCTTCATCGATGACCAAGAAGCGCAGAGTCCGGATAGAAGTGGCAAGCTCGTCGTCCTACAATCTCTCAGATGAAGCTCCCTGAATCGTTCTAATACGTACACCTTTCATGAGATCCCACAGACGACCAGGAGTAGCCACGAGAATGTCACACCCTCGGTTCAAGATCCTAGTCTGCTTGTGCGCACTAAGACCACCGACAACACTCCCAATACTGATCCTCGGCGGCTCTTTCCCTTCTCCCTTCTTCTTCTCCACCTCATCCTCCTCCTCATCCTCCTCCTCGACAGTATGCTTCAGCAAAGCTTCCAAATGCTCCACCACCTGCAGAGCCAACTCCCTCGTAGGGCAGAGCACCAACCCCTTCAAAGCCCTCTTCTTGCCCTTGACAGGCTTCGCCCTCCTCAGCAAGTAATCCAGCATGGGGAGGGAGTAGGCGAGGGTTTTACCGGAACCGGTCTCGGCGACACCGATGACATCTCGACCGGTGAGCGCGGCGGGAAGGGCGCGGGATTGGATAGTTGTTGGGGTGGTGAAGGAGGTTGCAAGGAAGGCGCGTTTGAGAGTGGGGTGGAGGGGTACAGAGGACCATTCGGGGAGAAGGTCATCTAATTTACGTCAGTTGAGGTTGATACGATATATGGGAGATGAACCGTTGAAATCGGGAACACACTCGAGTTCTTCGTGCTCTTCGTCGTCGGCTTCGTTGAGGTCTTCGGCGTCAAACCCAGCAAAGTCTGGGAACTCTTCAGAGGCATTGGAAGCAGCGTCTTCTTCGCCAGTCTCTTGTCCATCACCGGAAGCCTCCTCTTCAAAGTCTTCATCGAACACGACGTCCTCTTCAGGCTCTTCCACTTCGGCCTTCTTGCCCTTCTTCTTCTTCCCTTCTACCTCCTACAGAATAATCAGCTCTGCTACATATCCTCATTGATCAACTCACAATAAATTTGGCAACCTTTTGCCCACCCTGCGCCTCTTCCCATTCGATTCCAACATCTTCAAGCTCCTCCAGCATCATCATACCTCCACCGGCGTCCATGCCAGAGAAGGCAGAAGTTTTGACGGGCTTCCATGAGAGCGATTTTGAGGGGATGTATTGTCCCTTCGTGGGGACTTTGACTTCAGTTGTTGATGCCCCGGCCTTGGCCTTGGACTTGACTTTCTTGTTTCCAATCCTCGCCATCGTGTCGATTAGTTGCACAAGTTGAAGATTTAAAGCCAAAATAATCTTCTTGTCACAACAAAAACACATTACGTAACCCCTGACACACGACGCGCTTTTCCCTGGCAGTCATGTTCTCTTCGACGCGTCTTTTTCATCCATCCAAAGAGCTTCCTGGACCTAAATCATGACCGAAACCACCGACCTCCACAGGGTACTCATCCAGACCTTCCTCGCTCGCCGCTTCATAAAGGAAAAGACCCTCGTGGAGCTATACAAGCGCGCCATAGCAGCTGTCAGGGGTAAATTCACGCGTCGCAAAGCGATATCGAAAAGCTGACTTTTTACATCAGAAGATGACCCGAGGTTCAAGGGGCCTTACGCTCTGAATGCACCGGGCGTAGCGGAGATGGCAATGGACCTTTCGGACATGCTGCATGTCGCTAGTATGGAGATTGCACAAGCACGAGATCAACGCACCGGTGACACCTCTTACATCCTGGTTCGTCCCCCCAATTCACCGTCTCTTCACTTGTGCCTCCGGCTGATCTGTAATGCAGCGCAATATCGACGCTACAGAAGTGGCCAAACTCGCTACCGACTTGAATCAGCAGGAAGTCGATTTCTACCGTAAACTCGTCGAGGCCATCATGATCTCCTACCCTGCCAACTCGCTCGCCAACGGTCAGGCTCGGTCGCTTGTGAAGGATCTGGAAGGGACGACAAAACCACCGCAGTCGTGGGCTGCAAAGTTGTTGGAGAGTTTGGTATCCAGGGGGTGGATCAGTCGGTCCAAGTAAGCCTTTGGCCTTGCCCTGGGGTGGAAAGAAGGACGAAGAGCTGATGCAAAGTAGGCGAGGGAGGTACTCTCTGAGCATGCGAGCGATCGTCGAGCTGGAAACATACCTCAAATCAGAGTTCCCAGACTACGTTCACAGCTGTCTCCGCTGTAAACGTCTCGTATTCGAAGTGAGCCTTTCCTCTTTCCTGTCCTTTTGGTCCCCCAAACTGACTTGCATGTCAGGGAGTTGCTTGTTCGAAAGAAGAGTGCTCTGCACACTATCACGCATACTGCTACGCCGCCCTCAATGCCATGCCCAACCCCAAATGCCAACATGCCCCTTGCTCTGCGTCTTTCCGCCAATACCCGCCGAAACCTATCGGCGAACAAGGCGTCTCGACTATGGAGGATTCATTCAGTGGTGGTGTGAAGAAAAGGAAGAGAGGAAGGCAGACGCAGGGAGATGATGAAGCTGAGGAGGGTGAGGATGAGGCGGAGGCGGAGAGCGAGGAGGAAGAAGATAGTCAAACGCAGGATAGGAAGGTACGTCTTTCGCCTTCTTTACCTTTTCTCTCGATGGTGGAAGGGGAGCTGACTCGAAACAGCCGGGGAGGGATTACGTCCCTGGCACTCAATACGAAGACGACACTCAACCAAGCTCCTCCCGCCGTCGTTGAACGAATGTCACCCCAATAAACCGTCCTTGTTTCTCTGACGTTTGGCGGTCCCCCTCTCAAACGTGACATGCAGCATTACCCACGTCATCGACGATGATCTATACAAAACATGAGGTGCCATGCCGATTCACAAGAGAGCTGGGAAGGGCTATGAAGAACTGGAGATGAGGAGTGGTACTTGTACGTCAAGGAATATCTAATGCTGTTCACCATTGGCTGGACATAGTCAAGTGTACAAGATAATGTTTCCATTCTTTTCTTCTCACTTCTTCTCACTTCTCGTTCCAGTCGTCAAAGGGTCGTATAAAGTTCGTCAAGATCTACCCTTCGTGTATGAGGTGAGAAGGATGTGGACTGATTCCCAGCAAGATGGTACCAATCGAGTCGACCTAACTGCTAACCCTCTTCTTTCCTTTACTCTTGGGCCGCCTCTTTTGCTGTTTCTGTGACAAGACGCTCAATCCCAGGTCCCTCCTCACCACACCCTCTCCCTCTTCCCCGCCCTCGGGAAAGTACTCTTCGCCCTCGGGATGGTCCCGCGCAGAAGTTACCGGCGATGCCTGACGAGATCGAGATTCCAGCGAAAGGTTGAGAGAATCATCTCTCGAAAGCGATCGCTCCCCAAGCGATCGTTCGCCCCCAGCCCTCTTGCTCCTGGTGCCCAAAGACGCGCCAGAGTGGTGCGTCTTTGTAGGAGACGGGTTGGATCCACCAAAAGAAGGTTCTCTGACCATAGTAGGCATGCTCGGTTCCCTATCCCTGCCTCTCGACGCTTCCCAAGGCGAGGTGAGCCTCTCCACCGTGGTCGCGCTCCTCATCCTTCCCTTCCCCTTCCCGAAAGGCCTGTCACCACGAGGCAACGAAGAAGGGTCCACCCCCGCACGAGACAGACGATCGACGATAAGCCGCCCGTATTTCGGGATCTGCGTCTCGGCAAAGTCGACTTTGACGGTCGCGGCCAAATCGGCAAGGTACCGCGGCTCACTAATGCTCCTCCCTAGATTTGGCGCGCTAGGTCGGTGAGGTATCGTGGCACCGTAAGGGGAAGGCTCGTATGGGGATGGTCTGTTGTTGGGGACGGATGTATTTTGGGATCTCGTGGGGTGGGTCGGCCGTGGGGAGAGGGGAGAGAGGGGGGATGGGGGTTGACGAAGCTGTTGAGAGAGGGAGAGGGCGGAGGAGAGTGGGCGGAGGCCGCGGGCTGTGCTGGGCGTGGAGGGGAGGGATGGTTCGAGGGGCTGCATCCGTCTTTGTGACTCGTAAGCGTCACATCTCATCAAAGGGAAGTAGAAAGGCTCACCCAGCAAAAGCTTTCGATATACTATCCATCTTCCTACCAGCCTCTTCTCTCTTCCTCGAGCTCTCCGTCCCCTCTCTCTCGGAGCCAAAGCCGCCTGACAAGGGGCCCGTCGTACGGACGGGAGAAGAGTCGACAGATGGGTGCTGGCTGGTGGAGCGAGAACGAGAGCGGGAGGATGTTGTGAATGAGAGGAGGTTTGGGAGCTTCGGACGAGCTCGGGGATTGGGTTGAGCGGACGGCTGGGTGAGGATTGTCGTAGGAGGTGGGAAGAGAGGCTCTCGTTCGGGCTACCCTTGACATTAGCAATAGAACAAGACAGACCGAGGAGTACACTTACGTCGTCGGACCGGACAAAGCATGTACATAGAGGGGCTAAAAGCATCCAGCAGAGGGAAGGGTGGTTGTGTTCGTCGTTCATCGTTATTGGGGCTTCTTTCTAGTGCGTGAAGCTTTTGGGTGAAGGAGTCGTCCTTCTTTTGGGGGTGTGGAAGGGGGTGTGAAGAGGTGGAAGAGAGAGCGGCTAAAGTGCTGGAGATGAAAGTTGCTTTCAAAACGTTCAATGCGTCTGGCAGTCCGTCCAGTCAACTACAGTCATCCGCCCTCCTTCCAAATCTTTCCGAAATAGGTGAGTGGGTGGGAGAGTGTGGAGAGGGAATCTTGATCCGAGCACGTCGCGAGTACAGTCAAACACAGTCAACCCTCAGCCCCAAGGGGAGGCACAAAGGAGGTGATCGTAAGTGATCTGAAAGAGGCTGCAAAATTGTTTCGGTGCTGTCACCGGGGAGTGCCGGGGCTGAATTCGATCGCGGTAAGGTTTGAAACGTCCCTTCGGCGAAAACAGGAAGGCTGAGATGTGAACAGCAAGTCGCAAGGGGGCGCTGGGAGAAGCATGGTACAAAAGACACGAGACGGCAGATTCTGATGAGCGTGGTCTCTTGCAGCGAGATGCGGGTACTCACGATCGTCACTCGCGCACCGCTTCAGGGAGGGGAGGTTGAGCGTGGTTAGGAGAAGGCAGGGGATACGCGTAAAGGAAAGCAGGGGGGTATCGGTATGCAGGAAGAGAATGGCAGAGAATATATGATGGCTGCCGACTGGCCTCTGCTACCAAGACTCGCCCCAAGCTCAGCCCAGCCGCCAGTTCCATCTACTCAGGAACCGGAGGGGTATCGGGAAATAAGCAACGCATGGGCATGGGGCGGATCATAGCCAATCGACGAACGGTGGGGGGCTGATCGTTCCTCGCAGGCGGACCTGTACTACCCACTGTTCACTGTCGCTCTCTTGCATGTGGCGTATGGCAGTATATGCAATGGCGAGGGGGTGGAAAGAGAAGGGGTAAGGTGGCACCCTTGGCCCTTGGGGGTGGTACGTGGAAGGAGGGGGTTGAACGATAGCAAGTCACGCCGAAACGTTCCAGGCTTCACATCTCAACAAGTCTCGGCCACCCGATTTGCAGGCACCGCCGTCGTCTTACAAATTCTTTTGCAGCAGCTCACGTCATCCGGCTCTGCGGCAGTGCACAGAATGTCACTATCATCGTGAGCTGTGAGAGAAAAGTGCGGAGGTGGGTCTACAATGAACAGGTGGGGGACGATAGCCAAACTTTGACCGAGTCATGATGTCGAGGAACGTGATGGGGGAACCTGACTCCTGGGGCACGAGCAAAGAGCGCCAACAACAACTGCCGCGGGTCGACATGGTTACACCCTTTCATTTTGGCTCTCCGTGCATACAAGCAAGGTCATCCGGGGGAGGCGGAACAGGGGCTCGTATGGCTCAGCACTCGTATGGGTCCATGCTTGTCACCAAAGAGGACCTCACTAGTCAAAGTTCAGCGACATGCTCCGCTGGCCTGGCCCAGGTGCACCAGGTGCATGTGGCTTGCATGGTCTTCTACACAACACACCTCGATAAACCCCTCTCGTAAGATTTTTATTCCGCGTCGTCGGTTGTTTACGGGTGACTCGTCGCTGTGTATGTCCTTTAAGCCTTGTCCCTCACGGTAAGTTGTGTCCGTTGTAAAGAGTGCCTTGGCTTGAAGAAAGTGATCATCTTTTCTTCATCGCCGACCTCCGCCCCGTAGCTCCCGGCCCCCGTGCACCTGCATCTCCTCGGGCACAAGAGACAACATCCGGTCAGCAGGAGACAGGAGACAGTCTCTTGGTGCTCCCCTTGACAAGGCACTTGCAAGTTGCAACCCTCGAAATCCTCGTCACACCACCCCCTTCTCCAGTCATGGTGTCCTTATGACTTGGGGTTGCCCTTCCTTTGCAGATGGCCACTTACGAGCGTGAAAAGTGCACAGGATCAACAACAAGCGGCTACGGCTGCAGTGCTCTTATAGACCGTACTCTACAGTGCAGTGGTGCAGTGCAGTGTAGTACATTATGATTTTACACCAGCCGCGGCGCGCGCTTCGAAATTAACATCAACATCCAAAAGAGGCCTTCCTTCCAAGAACGACTGGAGCCAGTTTCTGAGTGAACCATCGTGCAGCGCTCATCTCTTGCCAGTACCAACATGGTCTCCTAGATCATCATCCAAACTTCATTACTCAAGCACCACCTGACTCATGATTCGTCATCTATCGACAAACCAGCTATGTCTCAGCCTTAACCATCAGAAAGGACAAAAGAGTATGCCAAAAGGCGCTTGAAGGGACAATTAAGAAAACTGGGCGATTGATGTCCCACCATGGACGAAGTGACGACGTGGAGGAGGATGGTGACTGTGGCGCCCATCACAATGGAAGACAGCACGAATCAAACGACCATGGCTCAATCGCGATCTGCGCCACCATCACAATCATACTTGCGTAGTAGTCTCCCATCTGCCATATGTATATAAGTCAATTGTTGGATGTGATTGATAGGGCGTCCGTACGGAGACTTGCGGGGGCTGAAGAGGAGAGCTAGACGCGTATCATCCAACGTAGCAGGAACGTGCTTGCCACGTTTCTTCTTCCCCTTGGGCCCTTTGACACGTCACTTACTGTATACGCTCGTGATTTCGCAACTGATAAGAACAATTCCTGGCGTCTGAATGGGCTGTCGGCGTTGGTCCATCACCCAATTGTATGGAAGGTCAAAAGCAGGCGTGCCGGAGAATTTGAGTGCCTTTCTTTGTGTTTTGCAGATATGCACAGAGGTGTGTGTCTTGTGCACAGTCACCCTTCACCGTCTCGTCAAGCACCGCAGTCACCCTCACCATGTCAACTGTTCTTTTTGATCCGTACTTCTTGCTTCTCTCAGCAGCAGTCAACCAGCAGCCAGCATGTCCGACATTGACCAGCCAAGGTCATGCTCACACTGCTGTGATCGCTGCAAGGAGCCACTCAGCGACCTGCAGAGCATCATCCCATCGAGAGCCTCCATTTCTGTGGTCAATGCGTTCTAGATGACGGCCTCCGACCTGAGAGTGACGACCACGAGGTAGGAAGCACTCGCTTACGCCAACTGGGAATTTGTCTGGCGGGTGTAGACTCTGGTTCGAACTATCGCTTTGGGTGGCGGGGACAGGGGGTCCCCGCAATCGAGAAGCTGGGGATCTACCTCTACATATGTAGAGGCCCCTCGAGCGTTCGGAAGGCGGCCGCAGCATTTCAGAGGAGCCAGTCAACCATATCAAAGTAAGTTCCACTCATCATGTGATTCTGATCCGCATTGTACTGACACCAAGTTGACAGGTACTTCCACGAGGTCGTCACCGCACTCACCAACACGTCTTTCCACGATCGATGGATGGTGCAGGCACTGAGGCTCCATTCGACAGTAAGCGCACGAGCAGCAATAGATATCATTATATACGGGCCTACACGGATCACCTGAGTGCTCATTTCTGTCGCTGTCAGGATGAGCAACAAGCCGACCGACGTGTCCCCACTTTTTCAGGAGATCCTGCAGACGACGTCTGACCTGGGCGACGAGGGATGGACAGGTCCCACTGTGGGTCTTATTTGGTCATCACTCTATTTCTCAGATGCTTATGCTCGTTGTTGCAGACTTTATTTGGAGTGAAACGCAAGTATCACGATGAAGAGGAAGACTCTCCTCCTCCTCACCTCAGCCTCATAAGCGTGCAAGAGATTCGCCCGAAGCACAGCTGCCGACCCCGCCTACTTCCTCCCCATCGCGACCCTCGGCGCCTGAGCCCGACAAACCCCTGCCGCCACTGCCTCGCGAGATCCTGCACTTGATCATCACTCTTGCAGACGATGTCGAACCATTGCAGGAGTCTCGAAGATGTTTCAAGCAGAGTCAAGGAAGCTGCTATTCGCCGCCGTCACGGGGGGTATTACGGCGGCCAAGACGTCTTACTCACCGGCTGCTCTGCGGTGCCCCTTCGATCGACTGTTTGAGGTAGACGAACATGTCGGGTTCCCGGTTTACAAGGCCGAACTCCCCATTTCGGCCAATCCCTCCAAGGTCGTGACTACAGGGAGAAGCGAGTTTGGTGTTATGTCATCGGTGCTCGGAGAGGATCGAAGCAAGGCTCCATTCGTGGTGATCTAGGAGGGTATTCACAAACTTGTTTGTCAATTCGTATAGTAAAAGAGATGGCCGCTTCTTGTACTCGCTTAGCAAGGAGCTCAACGCCCCTCGCCCCACCACCATCACCAACGACGACCCGTCCGGCAGAATACAAGAAGCGGCCACCTTTTTTACCAAACGATTTGACAAACAAGTTCGTGAAATCGCTTCCCAACAGAATACCCCCCAAGATCACCATGAATGGAGCCTTGCTTCAGTCCTCTCCGAGTACCGATGACATAACACCAAACTCGCTTCTCCCTGTAGTCACAACCTTGGGGGGATTGGCCCGTGACGGCGGCGAATAGCAGCTTCCTTGACTCTGCTTGAAACATCTCCGAACGCCGTGTTGTTGGATGGGCTTGCGGTAATGCTATGCATGGAGAGACTGTCTGTATACACCTTACAAAATTTGAATGATTTTGTTCTCAACAAATACGCCTTTTATACTCTACTCGTCTAGAGTTACATTCTCCACATGCTTACACCCCCTCAAACTTTCCCCATGATGCTCAACACCCTTATGCCCTAATGATCAAACCTCTTTCACACCGTTAGAACATGACAAGATGCTTTTTAGACATTGCCGCCCAAGGCCTTGATTTCGGATTTGACTTGAGCCTCAGACTCGATCTTCTTGAGTTGAGTCTTTTCGAGCACTTCGCCGCCGGCGAGCTTGGTCTTGAGTTCCTCAATCGCTTTGAGCTATCACGCACCGTCAGTGATTGTAAGCGGCAAAAGGCAAATAGCGCCACTCACTTTCTTGATCAAGTTCCTGATCTTCTTGGCAGTAGCATCCTCCCCAGCCTCCTCCTTCACCTCCTCCTTCGCAGCCGGAGCAGGCGCCTCGTCCTCCTTCTCCTTCCCACCCCTCTTCCTCTGCCTCTTCTTATCATCATTCTTGGCATTCCCATTCTGACCCGGCACCTGTTTGGGAGCAGATCCAGGGGGACCGGTACCGGGGACGTACCGCCCAGCAGGCTTACCTCCTCGGAACATCGGTGTGGCCGACGACGCAGAGGCAGAAGCAGAAGCAGGCGCGCCTTCGGGCCTGTTTCGCGCACCAGGGGGTCGGTACGCACCAGCAGGCTTGGCAGCGGCTCCGTCGACTTCACCCTTGGGCCTGAGAAGGGCGACACTAGGGTTGGCCTCGGGCGCAGCAGGGATCACAGCAGGGAAAGGACCGAGGTCTTTCAAGAGACGGGGCGAGAAGGAAGCTTGGTAGAGCTCGTCGGTCAACTGGATGTGCAAGAGCTGTCCGCCGCACCACCATATT